CCTCAAGCTGTTCATAGGAATAAGATTATCGTGCGATTTTTGCGCTGTGGCCAAATTATATACCATCCGATAGGAAAAACGCCAAATCGGGTGTCGCAACAAAAGCGAAACCTAGCGCAGGTTCCTATAAAAAGTTATGACTAAATAACTGGTTAAAATAAATATTTACAACGCGCAGCGAATAAAATAAAACCATATTAAAATAACTTGCGCGTCTCTATGTGTTACTACACGTCGCCATGGTAATGACGTCACCGATGATTACTGGGCCGCGCTCAGCCTGTCATTCCGCCAAATCTATATTCTATTAATGAACATAATAGCCTGGGGTCCTCAGGTAACACCGATGACTATATTTGGAAATGAGGGGAAGGCTCGCGCGTGTAGCATATATTATTACACGCTGGAAGCATGCGGAAAGAACATCAGGACTTTTAAGCTCACTCATAATCCTGGATAGTGTGGGATCAGGTTTGGTGATGTCTTGATTTAGACTTTCTGGGTTTGAGGGGTTATGTGTAGCTTTACAGTCCTTACACATCCACACGTGCCCAGATAGGGGACTGATTATAGATGCTTCCGACATACATTTGTGGAAAGTTTTGACATTCTCGCAGTTGTGAGAACCCCGGAAGCATGTGTAGCAAACGAATAAGGGTGGCTCTTCAGCATCCAATTCGACAACATATGATTCGTTGCAGTCACCGCAGGAAGTTGGAAGAAGTGGAGAGATACCAAATATGATGCGGTATACCAATGACTCCTTGGTGTGCAGTTTATTGTCATCTTCGTCTGCAAGGTTAATACTGAGAAACTCTGCACATGGCTCCAGAATATCGAGATTGAACTGATTCAGTTGTTTGTAGTTGACGGTACGCTTAGCAAATGGATCAAATGCAGCGAGGACACGTTTAACTAGTACATTAGACTCTGCCCGGAGAAGCAGGCACCCAATCGCAGTTTTAATCTGATTCTCTGTTTCCATATTGACAAAAATTGACAGTTGACACGTCTTATTCTTCAAATGTACACGTCTTATTCTTCAAATGTACTCGATAATATGTACTATTTCCAATATGTACACAAACCGCCACAGTATGCAGCAGTATCGAGCTGCTAAGCTTTTAAAGATAAGGGAGACAAAAATAGCAACGTATTAAACAAGTATACTGTATACTATACGGACTATAAGTATACGTTGTACGTGATAATGATATGACCGTATTTTATGATGAATGATGAAGTTGGTATAATTTCTCGTAAGCAGTAATAGGGTATGAGGTAATGGTTTTAGCATATACTTTTGTAGGTATATGCTAAAGATCAGATGGTTTCAATTGTATTCATTAAAGGCCAGCTAGAGAACGATTTGAAAGTCACGTGACAGTAGTAAAGTGATTTATCATCATTCTGGACTCGCTGAACAGCTTCACACCTTAATTTAAGATTAAAATGAACTCTGGGAGCCTCCACAAGTTATTGATTAAACGTTAGATCAGAGCTCTTGGGGGTGGTTTCTGAAAATCCGGAAATTTAGGCAGAATTATCGAAAAAGTCCCATTTATTTAAACTCTTTGACACTAATTACTCTGTTAGTTTCGATCCCTGTATTTTGAAGGAGTACTTAAATGTAACTGTGCCAAGCTTTTTCGACACTCAATGTATAATTGTCTATTTTAAGTAACTACACATTTTATTAACAAAGAATTTGAGTTGGTTTTGTGTATTCAGCATTATCGTTTTAATATGGCTTGAGAGATTATCGTTTGGATGCCCTGCATGCTAATTCAATTGTTTAAGCTGGGTCAAATAGAGGAATTTTACACATAAGCTATTTCTCTGGTACCAACAAAGTATGTTGGAATTCTAGACCGCAGAAATACGTGCATATTGTACTAGTCAACCAGAGATTGAAAATTGGGAGACGTTCAAATATATAGAAAATTCTAGTGTCACATATATTAAAGTTGTTTTGATTCGATATCTTACTCCGATCTGAATTTTGTGATATGTATGACGGACTAGAACACAATGAATACAATTTATATCGGTTTGTTTAGGATACCAAAGAATATTTTAAAAGAGGGCCTCGGCTGATTACGTAATATGTGAACGACCCCTTATATAAGGTGTAAGGGGTCATTCACATATTACGAGCGTACTAAATCACTCTACATGGTCGATCTTCGAGATTTTTATAAAAGGCCCCCCGACCGTTGAAACCAACTTCAATCGATGTATTTTCGGACGCTGATTCCGAATCGAATCACCCCCATGACATAGGGTTAAAATGATCTATAGCGAGATATTGGCGAAAAACTGTCTCGATCACGTGATATGACCGTATAAGGAAGTTAGTCTAATTTCTCGTTAGGGTTAGCAGTTAGGCCCTCAGCCTGTCATTCCGCCTAATCTCTATGAACATGATAGCCTGAGGTCCCCAGGTATAAAACTTTGAAAGTAAAAGAGTTAGAGACCTCCGGTTTTTTGTAACATGTTCGTTTTGTAAAAGTAACGTTACCTCCCCAGGAGGAAAATTTAAGACAACGTAGTTGTTGAGTTTGCTTGATTCACGATGTCAATCCTTCGCAGCTCGGTGAGGCCCAGTGGTGCATCTCGCCGATCTACCGAAGAAGGTGGTTACGAAGGTTGTTGCGAGAAGAATTATTTGATGCGCGGCGCGGCCCAGTAGTGCATCGCGCTACAAAAGTTTGCAAGTTTAACTTTGCGGATTCCTGTACTCTGATTGGCTGAATTGTGTCACGTGGTAGCTGCTTGAACATTGGAATGCGTCACGCGTGCAAATCATCAATCATGCTTAATGTCGCGCGCGAGGTCGAGCCGTCTGTTTAAATTAAACCAACTCTAGTACCACCACCAGCCAGTAACTTTTCCTATACTGGGGACTGTAGAGTGATTTAGCACGCTCCCAACTTTCCTCGGGCAAGTTTTCGAGAAGTTAAGAAAGCGGGCAACATTTCGAAAAGAAAGCTCTATACTTCGAAGAAATTTAGACGAGTAACATCCGTCAAATTGTCAAGGAGACTCGGTGCAACTAGTAAAAAAACTGTAAAAACAACAAACATTAGACAATTAGGCCTCATGACTAATTAGACATTAGACAATTAGGCCTCATGAGATCGCTAAAACCTAAACAATTATAAATATCAATGTAGAGGCCGGCGCGGTGCTACCGGGATTTTGAGGACTTATAATACTCGAGCTACTTTATTTTAGGTTAATATTCAAGTGATACACGAGTTATATTATTATTAATATTATGTAGGTGACTCGAAAAGTTTTAAGTCAGGAAAACTGTATTAAAGGCTAGCTTTTACAAAATCATTGCGTAAATCATAAGGCTAGGCATTTGACATTTGTTGGTTTTGTTTGGCTAGGAAGCTCCCAAAGACTTTTTGATGAGTAAAATAAATTCTTCTCATCAATTTAAAATTGCCATTGGGGAGCGCACTTTATTTGTTATTAGTATTAATTATTTTTACTGTTTACCGTTACGGAGATGAAATATAATATGCGCAAACCAACAATTAGAAATTAAAACCTCGTCCGAGCTATTTTAAAATCCACCTCAAAATCAAAATCAAATCCACCTCAAAATCAAATAGTTATAGTTATACTTATAGCGATAGTATCACTGATACTGATTAGATATACTATATCATAAAACTGCTTATTATCCTAAAACTATTAAACAATTTTGAGAAATTTAAAAAAATATTAGTTTAACAGTAACACCCCGTGACAATACTCGTTAAAGATTTGTCAAACAGAAACTATTAGTCGTAATATTAGAAAATTATATATGCAACTTGGACCAAACTATTTCCATTCTTAAAACAGTGTTCAAAAACACAGTATTAATCAATTGAATAATGTTTTTGGGGTCAGAGAGTATATTTAGAGGCTCAATCTGGCACCGGTGCAAGTTTCTATGTCTTACAGAATTGCGCGGACACCAATTATCTTGTTTATGTAACTGTAAGCTAACGTTCACTGATCATCCAACTGACCGTTTCCAAAGAGCCAAAACATCTCTAAAAAGTGTCGATGCGACTAGAGGGTCGTTCCAGGAGAGATAGTCTCGTCAATCTCAATGTACATCCGCTCATACTGGTGCCCGGAGAGACGAGCAGGGGCTTCTAACTTGTACTCCAGGCGGATTATCCGGAGAAAGGCTGACCGGAATTCTGGTAGGAGATGATACATGGAGAGTAACGAAACTAGTGGCTTCATATACAGCAGCTGAAAGATAGAGAGTGGGTTATATTCCACTTGAGGGATCAGCAGCATTTGTCATACTCATACTATAAACCTACAAAAGATAAACTAGATTTATAATGAAAGTGAAAGTTTTTAAGTTCCAAATAGTTACAAATAGTTTACGGAAGTGTGTGACTATACTGGGACACCATGTGATGAAATATTAATAAGAGATTAGGATATCTCACCATGAATGTAGCAGCCCTTCTGACAATAACAGAAGTAGAGATAGGGTAGGTGGTTCTGGTAAAGTGGCGGCTGATTTCATCAACCCACCACAAGGTGAACAGGAGACAGTAACTGAGGAACACCATAACCGTGCACGACCACCCACTTCTTATCTGAAACCAAGTTAGATTGTTAAGGGTTGTTAATGTCTGTGGTTGGAGTTAACCGGATGAAATTCACAAATTACTCGGCGTGTACATCTTAAATCGCGGATCTTCTATAACATTTTTCAGTATCACCCTTAATCACCCTTGATCACCCTTGTCATCACCCTTATCAGTTATCATACTGGTGTAAAGTGTAAACTGACCCTCTTTTTGCCAGAATGAATTCCCTTGATGATGGACACAATGCAGAGAGTGATAGGTAAGAAGTACTGAAGACAGAAGAGGAGGGAGAAGAGAAGGTTGTACTCTACGGAGTGTTTGGGCAGGGAGAAGAGAGCAGCATCACTCGAGATACACATCGCGTGAGTCCAGGACATGTGGTAATTCTGAAGGGGACGTTTAGTCGGAGAGAGAAACATTTTGGAGTTATCTCGATGAATTCTGAAGCTTAAGATCTACAGACAGTAATCTACTGATCCATTACCATACGAATATACCTTGAATAACTTCAAGTGCAGCACCATTGAGGTTTTCAATTTTGATCGAGGATTAATAAAAACAAGAACTGAGTAAAATTCCACACTAACCCGAGAGGTAATAAGAGGTCCAACAGCAAGAAGTCCAGCCACAGTCCAGATAGCTCCGGTAGTGAGATAATATCCCAGTCTGGTAATGGTCACGTGCCACATTTTTATGAGATGAGCCAGAGTCAGGCACCACCAGGTTACAGCTAGGGTCGTGCTGAATATTACTCCGCAAACGTTACATAATATGTCCATTTCCATCGTAACTGCACGTCCGGTTACAAGTGCCTGTTAGGGAGAAATCCAGATAGTCTTGGGTACTTCAGAGTTTTATTGGAATTTATGGTTGTGATTTGAAAGTGCACAATGTTAAAAACCAACCAAAAGGTTGTCATCAGCCGAAGAGCAGATGAAAGAAGTACCATGTTTGAGGTTGCTGGTATTTGGAAATTGAACGAACCTTGAGGGTGTAAGCCTGGCAGAAAACCAGCAGTATGTCGCAGAATACCAGGTGTCCTAGAACAGACACGTGGTGATCTGAGCGGAGTTTCACCACCGCTATCAGGGCCAAGACATTGAAGAAGAGTGTGAACACGGCCAGTGGTATCAAACACGTGATACAAAACCCGTCCAGTATCTCTACTAGCTTCAGGTTGTACATCTTAATACTGAATAGTGAATACAAGGGTTAGTAAGCTAGTTGATAAGTTAGTTAGTTAGTTAGTTGGTTAGTTGGATAGTTGGTTAGTTGGTTAGTTGGATAGTTGGATAGTTGGTTAGTTGGATAGTTGGATAGTTGGATAGTTGGTTAGTTGGTTAGTTGGTTAGTTGGTTAGTTGGTTAGTTGATAAGTTAGTTAGTTAGTTAGTTAGTTAGTTGGTTAGTTGGTTAGTTGGTTAGTTGGTTAGTTGGTTAGTTGGTTAGTTGGATAGTTGGTTAGTTGGTTAGTTGGTTAGTTGGTTATTCAGTTGTTTAGTTTGTTTGTTAGTACACTGATAAGGAGGTTAAGTTACTCACACTACGCAATTTGTTACAATGTTTCAAGGGTAGTTAATTCTTAATATCCGGTTCCTGAATAAAGAGGTGCGCAGGTGCTAGGAGACCAGTCACACGATTACAAGAGACGGACTAAAAATTGTAGCTGTGCGTAGTGGGTGGTGCTGTTGTGACCGTTGATTGTTGTCAACGTAAAGCCTTACCAGAACACCGGGAATAAAAAAAAAGGGGAAAATACAATTAAAACTTTAAAATTGTAGCGATTTTAACTTAAAATTTCGAGCATAATAACTGATCTGTGGAACAAAAATATTCTCTTTACAGGCCAATGTCAAAGTTGAGGCTGTATACTCGAGAGAACATGAGTCAGAAGCAAAATAACAAACAGGCGTGTACATGCAACTGAAATTTCGAACGCACAGTACAACTATGTACATAGCATAGCAGCATATAGTTACACAACGAAATGGCAAACCTTACAAATGTGAACTTCAGTCCACCTCTCTCTCTCTCTCTCTCTCTCTCTCTCTCTCTCTCTCTCTCTCTCTCTCTCTCTCTCTCTCTCTCTCTCTCTCTCTCTCTCTCTCTCTCTCTCTCTCTCTCTCTCTCTCTCTCTCTCTCTCTCTCTCTCTCTCTCTCTCTCTCTCTCCCTCTCTCTCTCTCTCTCTCTCTCGCACTGATTTTCCGAAAATCAGGGTATTTTCAGGGACGATCAGGGTCTTTGATGTTTCTCTCTCTGTCTCACACACAAATATATCACGAGTTGCAGTTAGTTAGTAATACACTAAACTTACAAAACAATCAGCAGGAGCTAATTGCCAACGTGCGATGGTATTATGCTGTATCAGTTCACAGTTTGCTTACTTCCGTATATAGGTCACGGTGCAAACCTGATTAACCCAGGATACAAACTTAACCTATGCTTATTGCAGAACTTCATGGTGGATAGTTACTGTGGTTATACCTTACCAGCTGTGGTTATACCTTACCAGCTGTGGTTATACCTTACCAGCTGTGGTTATACCTTACCAGCTGAGGTTATACCTTACCAGCTGAGGTTATACCTTACCAGCTGAGGTTATACCTTACCAGCTGAGGTTATACCTTACCAGCTGAGGTTATACCTTACCAGCTGAGGTTATACCTTACCAGCTGTGGTTATACCTTACCAGCTGAGGTTATACCTTACCAGCTGAGGTTATACCTTACCAGCTGAGGTTATACCTTACCAGCTGTGGTTATACCTTACCAGCTGAGGTTATACCTTACCAGCTGAGGTTATACCTTACCAGCTGAGGTTATACCTTACCAGCTGAGGTTATACCTTACCAGCTGAGGTTATACCTTACCAGCTGTGGTTATACCTTACCAGCTGAGGTTATACCTTACCAGCTGTGGTTATACCTTACCAGCTGAGGTTATACCTTACCAGCTGAGGTTATACCTTACCAGCTGAGGTTATACCTTACCAGCTGAGGTTATACCTTACCAGCTGAGGTTATACCTTACCAGCTGTGGTTATACCTTACCAGCTGAGGTTATACCTTACCAGCTGAGGTTATACCTTACCAGCTGAGGTTATACCTTACCAGCTGAGGTTATACCTTACCAGCTGAGGTTATACCTTACCAGCTGAGGTTATACCTTACCAGCTGAGGTTATACCTTACCAGCTGAGGTTATACCTTACCAGCTGAGGTTATACCTTACCAGCTGTGGTTATACCTTACCAGCTGAGGTTATACCTTACCAACTGAGGTTATACCTTACCAGCTGAGGTTATACCTTACCAACTGGGGTTATACCTTACCAGCTGAGGTTATACCTTACCAGCTGAGGTAACCAATACTGAAATATGTTATACCTGGGCACCACAGGTTAAAGTGTTCATAAACACGATCGAAGATATGGCTTTAAAATATCCTTTTGTGCTCCACTATTAGTTTTATTAAACAAGGCCCTCTTCACACACGAAGAGGAAACCGTGGAAACTAGTCGCCTGTACTGGATTTGCATAATTAAAATGGTAGCCAAGCTAGGACTTTACGAAGATTAGTTTTATCTCTTGCAGGCGTGCAACCCGAGTCCTTAAAGTTAACTTTCAATCAATAATCATCCTGCAACAAAAACTTATCTGAAACGAGCAAGGCAGCAACTAAACAGGACTGAGGGACATGGAGCTCTTAGAAGTGTAACCCTAAATTTAAACCTGATGTATTTAATGAAATGTCAGGGGGCACTGTGATCTCCAGGGAGCTGGGGGTAACAGAAAACCACGAAACAAGCGGACTAAACCCGGCACTGTAAACAATGTGCTCAGTCGTTAGCAAGAACTTGCATTAACAAACAATTAAACGTGGGGAAATAAAGGTAAAGCATGCGTTTGAGCTGGCGTAGAGGTATGTGTATTCGTGTAATGAGGTCATCTTTATAAATATAGTACTGTATAGTGTATATACTGCAAAGCTTTCAACAGAACTGGGACGGAGTTAGCGCTACTTTTTGGGTACCCAACATGTGAAAGACTCAGGTAGTTTCGGGTTATGTGAAACGCTCATCTCAGGGTGTTTATCTAGGAGCGTGGTGTCACGTGATCAAGTGATCCTAGAGAGGTCAGATTCTAACTGTGGTTTCAAACTGAGCAAATACCATGTATACCGGCATCCGTATTTGATCATCAGTTTACACATTGGTTCATAACTTAGGTTTGCAACATAAATATAATCATGACTGAATTTGATACTTTTTAAATCCATAACGTAAGATCTTAAGAATAAGAATGAGAAATCACACTATGCATCCTGACGGCCATGGGGTTGTACAAAACTAGCAAATAACTCTAACCATAGTAAACATCCAAAACCACATCAGAAATTAGAAACCCTCAAAATCACAAGGATGGACTACAGGGTGTGTACCTGGAAGGAGGATCAGTAAGGAGGGGGGGGGGGGGGTAATGAGGAGGTGAGAAGAGTACATACTGACTGTCTGACCTGTCATCACTCCACAACGTTCCCAGGAGTCTCCCACTTAGCGGCACAGAACATAGAGTCGAGCATATCATCATACTGGATTCGTGCATATCATCCCTCTTAAATTGGATACGTGCATTGTCTACATCAAACCGTGCTATGACCCAGAAAATATGACAATCAAACCACTTATAAATATAAAGCTGGATTGATTCCTAATTATTTCCTTATCTAAATGTGGTCGTAATTGATGAGAAGCACGAACTGGAATATCTAAACTCAAAGTCAGATTAAGGAATCGAAGCTACTACTGGTACTGGTACTATTCAGTATAATTCTATACGTTTTACTCTGACTCAACCGATTAAAGACGTTACATATTTCATATGCACAGTGGTAACAGTTCTATTTTAGGAAATAGCTAAAAATATAAACTGACAGATTGAACACAATGAGTTGAACTCTAAGTGATAGTAGCAAATTCTAGGCGTGAAGATGAAAGGTGGTTAGAAGTTATTCAAGTCGAAGTTCAATACTCAAAAGGCGGCTGCTACAAGTACAATACAATCACATTCACAATTCACATACTATTATAATACATGAACATTAAAAGAATCATGACATGTATAACAGTTTTAAACTCTCCTGACAATGAATGGCAGAATCGCCACAAATTCACACTAGTGAGTATTTAAACATTGTACTTTTAAGACTTTGAAGTTGATCATTAACATTTGTAAATCATGAAAGTTTGAAAACAGTTTAGCTTTTCACACATTATTTAGGCAAGGAAAACAATGAAAACAAAGCAATTGAATTTAGGTCGCACTTAATCTGCTTGTCTGGACCTAGCAACACTCATCACTAGAGATTTAAAAGGAAATTAAAAATTATCTATTATACAATTAGACAATTACCAATTTGAATTAATATTCATTCGACCACAATGTCTCGGAATTTAATAGTCGAGATCGGGGATCAAGATAATTGAAGAAGTGCTTATAATAACTAAATAAAGAAAACAGGATACAATAAATGAGAAACTGAAAGACATCGAGCTAATAGTAATAGATGTCATTAAAGAAAACATAAAATTTTAATCAAATCAAATAGGGAAACGAAATAGGAGACACGTTAAACTCAAAACCCTTTTGAGCAGGAAACTATTGACTGAGAAATTGAAAACAAGTCTCCATCAGATCGTTACAAAGAGGAACTTCTAAGAGTTTTTTCCCGGTTTTAGTAACAGCCCACGCCACAAACCAGCCGGCAGGCCGAGAGAAACAAGGGAAACTACACAAGATATCGGCCAGGCACCAAATATCGTGTCTTAACTTTGAAGAAATGAAAGTTTTGAGAGGTGGTATCTTGGCATGTGCTGGAGAGGTGACTGTCAAAATTAGTGAAATAGAGACTTGTTGGTATTCTTAAGTCAGAGGTAAATGATTCATCGTCAAAAATAAAACGACCCATTTAAACAGTTATAGAGATATAGGGAGAAGTACTGACTGTCGGCGAGCTGAGAGTGTGCTCTTGTTACAACTACAAAGAGTTGCTCGTCAAAGGGGCGTTCTCTCCTCATTAAAACCCTAAATTTGGTCATTATACCCAGCAGCCTTACAAAGATCGGAGAGATCAGCTAAAAAGGGAGCTGTAGTTGTAACTGAAAGCGGTGGAGTAACACGGACCCCGGACAATCTTTCGACACCTCGACCTGCCTCAGATCGGGGAGGGGTGCCGATAAGTGCCCACGTGACAGTGCCCACGTGACAGTGACTAGGTCAGGTGGGGGACACGTGGGCTTGTGGTGTTCGGTGTCATCATGTCTCTTTCACGGCCCTGACAGGGAACACGATGTCTGCCGTGATGTTGAACAGTGACACGTGTGGGAAGAATACGAGCTGCAGCCGGGCAGGTAATGGCTGTTTCGTCCGGCAAAGACAAACATGCTGAACATGGTGATCGGACAATTAATGTAAACAAACACGCAGTGCAGTACGGCTTGCAGTTCCTGGACAGTAGCTTCGTATCAGTCGACAGAGTGTGCATTTCACCAAGTGGTGTAGGTAGTACGGGTCAGTCAAACTCAAATGATTCCGAGGAAACCTTAGTACATCAACATGACGAGCCGCTGACCGGCCATCTTCAAGAAAATCATTTTAATTTGACAACTGCTCTAACTTATACCAATCTCCCAGTAAAAATGTCTTATCTTCTCCCCGGCGTTAATCCTGGCAAAATGCTCCGTATTTATTAGTGGCAGGTGCTTTACCTCTCTACTTGAGTTTTACAGGCTTATCGCCTTGTTGGCAGGTGCTTTATAAGTATTAAGTATTGGTTCCCCCAATTCTAACTTATCAGCTCCTATTTCAGAACTAGAGAGCAGGTGTGTATCTGAAGCTAGCTCTGTGGACTGGTAACTGCTCAAAATTCATATCCTTATCAGCCCAGTATATTTGTTCAAATATTAGCCTTAATGGCACCGGTCCTGTGATGAAGTTACGTACTGGCGGAACGTGTTTTAAGAAAATCACATCAAGCATTAACAAAAAAACAGGTCCTGAAAATACTAGCATATCTCAAATGTTACTCGTAAGCTCACCAACCCTTCAAAAAGGAATGCAACATGAGTCATGACAGACGACAGTGACATTATAAATACAGTTCGCAGGATCGTGCAGGCTGCTATTGTCATCCCGAAATTGGAAATGCAATATCAATATACAGCTAGCGCCGACAAACCTATACCAGTTCCAACAAAGACGCATAGTAGAGATGTGAAATGAGATGTAGGAAACGACGAAACGTGCCTGCTTTAGTGTCCTGGTCATGGTCACAATTGTGACAGGGAATTTGACAATCTCGAGACAGCATCTTAACAAATGTACAATATCCTTCTATCCTGATTGGACGAAGTTCTCAATATTGAGATACATTGCACACGACTGGTTGAAAAAATTTATAACCTGAAAGTATCATTTTATATTTGAAACTGGTACTCAATTACCAGTTTTCTGCAATCTGAAATCTCCCATCGGAACATGGGAAAAGGTATAAAATATCAGAACACTGAAGGTTGGCCAGAAATCGTCATGAATTGATTTGGCACAAAAGGTGGAGAAGAGAGAAGTTATCCAGCTTCTGTCTTCACAGTCCAGCAAGCAGCCAAATTTCCTGTTCTATTGAACTTATAAATAGCGGTTATATTGATAACCAGGTCCTGATGCAGGGCTATTGTGCTGCTGTATGTACCCTGCCTCTGCAACATGATCCTTTACAAGCCAGGGATCACATTTAACCAGGGGTTCACATAGGGCTAAGTACACTGAAGTCGAAAAAAGAGCCATATGTCAGGCCGAAACTTTTATGTCGAGAATTGGAAGCCCGACATTGTTGTTGTGTGAGGAGATCCTGTGGAATACCGCGGAGGAAGGAACTCAAATTGAACGACTGGAGTTGCATGGTATAATGGTTGTGGGCACATGATATAGTGTTCTACTGGGGAATGTGGTGCAATGTGCTGGAATTGTCGTCTTGTTAAGCTAAAACAGAGGATCATATCACGTAGAAAATAACATCTGAATTTGAATACATATCTAAAACACGCAAGAGGACAGAAAACATATAGAAAAAAAAGAGGACTGCGGTAATACTAATAAGAACAAGGGCAAATATAAAGATCAATAGGGTGTGTGGTGTACCAAAAGTAGTTACTAAAACGTGTAAATGATACACTATTAGATAAAATAACAACTTAAAACCATACTAAACTACAATAAAACCACACTAAATTACAATAAAACCACACTAAACTATGTCATAAAACCACACTAAACTACAATAAAACCACACTAAACTACAATAAAACCAGTGCTAAAAGAAATAGCACAGTTTTTCTCACAGCGGCTAGAATGCAGGATAAATATATAAACTGCGCATAATATCATATATAACATAATATATAATAGTAACATTTTCAAGCAGACTGTTAAGCATCAACTACAATAACGCCTAGCCGTGCCTTTACAGCTTTACACCACTGTTAAAGTTTATATAATGCTACCACAACTTGTAGAGATTACAGTTAGATCTTGTAGTAAGTTAGGGAGATGTACTAGAAGCAGGATGTGGGGCAGGTTACAGAGCATGACACGTGGTGTGATGACACGTGGTGTGGAGGGTAGGTCCTGGTTCAGAGAGAGAGAGAGAGAGAGAGAGAGAGAGAGAGAGAGAGAGAGAGAGAGAGAGAGAGAGAGAGAGAGAGAGAGAGAGAGAGAGAGAGAGAGAGAGAGAGAGAGAGAGAGAGAGAGAGAGAGAGAGAGAGAGAGAGAGAGAGAGAGAGAGAGAGAGAGAGAGAGAGAGAGAGAGAGAGAGAGAGAGAGAGAGAGAGAGAGAGAGAGAGAGAGAGAGAGAGAGAGAGAGAGAGAGAGAGAGAGAGAGAGAGAGAGAGAGAGAGAGAGAGAGAGAGAGAGAGAGAGAGAGAGAGAGAGAGAGAGAGAGAGAGAGAGAGAGAGAGAGAGAGAGAGAGAGAGAGAGAAAGAGAGAGAGAGCATTACAATTACACGTGTTCACAGGGAGGTGTCAGTAATTAGTGAGTACCTTACTCGGGAATAAATATTATAGCGGGTTAATTTATGACTGGGAAAATTAATGACCGGGAAAAATATGGCGGACTTTCCCAAAACCCGCCAAATTATCCCGGTCATGTATTTACCGGTGGCCGACCTTTCAAGTTTTTTTTCAGAGGTAAACAAATTTTCAACCGAAATTTTTGTTTTTGTTACTTGTTAAAGAAGTTATTTCAATTTACAGTTATTGATATTACTCAGAAATAGAAAAAAAAGACACGTCTATTTAAAGGAAAATAAATCTAAGCAATAATAAGTCAAATCTTCATTAAAGCGTATTCTCATTATCGCTAATGTCCCCTCCATTATCATTATTGATATCCCCCTGCTGCTGACCGTCAAATTCGAAGTTGTATTGTTGTCCTAACAAGACTTTCATTTTGTCCGCTAATGGGGCTACTGCTCTGAAGGTCAGCCGGAGCTTAAGATGTATATTATATATTATTATTATTTTCGTTTTCTTCTATAACATATAAATTGTTTTCTTCTCTACGATTCACTGATTCATGGGCAAGAGAAGTGAGAATCACGGTCCACCCTGAAATCTGATTTCTATAACCAAATTGTGATTTTTATAACGAAATTATGGTAGCAACCGCCAATAAAGTTACAGCCCTCCATCCACTGCTTCAAAAGTCTTCTCTAGCACATATGAGACTTCAGGTAAAATATGATGATCACCACCCCCTTGGAACCCCATAATCTGAGTCGGCGGGTTTTTTTATGACTGGTAAAATTTTTGACCGGGAAAAATATGGCAGAATCTTCCAAAACCCACCACTTTATCCCGGTTATAATATTCCCGAGTAAGGTAGTTACAATAATGGGCGCAGCTATTAGGGGGGAGTGGAGGACTGAGTGTTACTATTAGTGGGGGCACCCACTAATAGTGTTAACCCACACTTTGAAACAGGTTGTAGTTTGAGGGTGTGAACTTTCACCTCTAATCTACAACTCCAGTGACAGGTAAAGGAAGTGTTACTGATTGTCGGATTCTCCGGTGCACGGTTTTAATTTGTTGCGTGATTTATAATTATTGAGATATCAGATATTGATCATGAGAACGCAATTGACGAAAATCATAACGTTCATCATTTTTGTTAGATACCGCAAATTCGAGTACAGCTATTGCTGGATCATGCCCTTCGCTTAACTCAAAATGAAACATTATTATAAAAATTGTCAAACTTAAAACTTTCTCATGCGGTGGTTGACAAATGATTATCCCTACTAATAACTTAAAACCATCACCAACAAAAGGTCACCATTAAAAACTGCATCAATACAATTGGTTAAAACAGGTCTAAATAAAATGATCAGCTGTAAATAAATCATGAAACAGTTCTATCACAAGTCCCCGAGGAGCTGCCTGGCGAGTTCCTCAGTGTCCTGTAAATTATCAGATTTAAACCTCTTAGCAGCTCTATCCTCAGATTCAGATTCAGACGCCCCATCTTCAGAGTAGTCACCTCCTTGCTCCTCTTCCTCTTGCTCCTCTTCCTCTTCCTCTTGCTCCTCTTCCTCGCTGTCGGAGTTACCACCCCCGAGTGTAGCTACTCCCCCTGATCTAGCCGCGTCTCTTTCTCGCCGCTTCTCTTTTCGAGCCTGCATAGTTGAAACATCATAGATAGTGAGTTGTTACGAATGATAATATTACATATGTGGGAATTCAAAATATATGAAAAGAAATAATTAAATTTGTGGAGGCTATGAAAATGGTCGATAAGTGCATTGTTAATATCGTCTAATTCTAGAAGAGTTAAAGCTCACATGCTTAGCCTCCTTTCGTTTGTTTTTCTGTTCCAACTTGTCCATCTTATCCTGCGCTCTCATGTCCGCCGTTATCTCTGCTATATCAATGCCACCTGACGAAACACAATCATCACAATAGGACAATAGTTATTAAATAACTAACGTTTAAAGTGCACTAGTTAAACTGAGGTGAGTGAGTACTGTGCGTTCTATATGAGCCGAGTTATTTGCTTTATGAGCCGAGTTATTTGCTTTTTAAAGTCAATGAATGAATACTAAAATAACAAACTGCACAGGTAGCCACGCCCACCAGTTGGAAAACTCCCGGATAGTTGTTATCAGATCAGGTGATGTGTGCATCAGGTAATGCAGTATCAACTGATAATGCTTACGCTATATAACAACTTAAGAACACTATAACAACTTAAGAACTGACCTGCTTTGGAAGGATCGAGGGCAGGGGTTATATCAACTATAGCAGCGTTATGTTTCTCGAACACTCCTTCTTGAGATTCAACCTGTGACAAGAATCTTATCACCACATAAAATTACAAGGATTTAAATATAATGAATAGGATTTAAAAATAATAAATATAACAATGTATATTATGTAGATTAATGCGTAGGATGAAAGGATCGCTTTTATACTTGAGAATTGAAATTTTATTTAACAGGGCAATTATAGGATTCTCAATAATGACAGCTAAATCATTGATTACCGAGCATATACATTATTCACTGTCATACTACACAACTCACATTTCCTTCTTCATCGAATACAATTTTAGTGTTAGCCACGATCCCCTTTCTCAACAAAGCCTTTGCTTTCGCAACTTTTGTCTTAGGTTTTCCTTTAGGTTGTCGGGGCCCAATTTCTTCAAGGTTCTCTGTAGACATTGAATCAACCACTGAACTTCCTTTCTTGATCAAATATCGTCCCTGAAGTTTTCGTAAATGAAGTTAACAATTTGAAAAGATTTTACCCCAATCGGTGTTAGCATAAAAATATAAAACTCTTTCAAGTTTCAGGCGGTCTCCTTGGCCTGATATGAGTCACTACGGGCACAACAATAAGCTTCAGCATTGGTAAAAAAGAGAAGAACTGATAACATACCCATCATCATCATCTGATGGAAGATCTAACTTCACTTTTTCTTCTCCGAGCTGTCCTTCTTTGTCTTTTTCTTCGTCCTTTTTACTTTCCTGTAATTAAAAGATTTATCAGTAAATGGAGTTATAAGAATTTATTTGAAGTGTCACGGTCAAATTATCGAGATTATAATTCAACGTTATGATCGTTAAACAGGTTGTGTTCGCCAAAATGTTCCCAAATCACAAATAATTACGAACTAACCTGAGTTTCTCCTCTCTTCTTCTCTGCTTTTTTCAGGAACCTGACTTTAGGTGCAGTGAGGAGACCGAGAGAAGCAGCATAAGCTGCCAGCGGGAGTTGGTTTACATTGAACACGGACTTGTCTTTCTGAAGGAAGATACTCCGGACATAGCTGACGAAACATTTACGAGCCCTGGAGGGTGGGGATATTATTAATTTGGAGAAATTGTGGTGTTATCAGTGGGGAATACCTGATCATGATCTGAGTGAGATAGATTAAATGTTTAGATTAGGAAGTCTAGCAAGGAAGGTAATTGAACTTCTGTAAAATTTTACCAGTGGTGTACTTCGGGGCTTTCTGCGCAAAGTGACTGTACTTTTTTCTGGATCGAAACCTGAACGAATATTATTTTGAAAGTGGTTGAGGCTCCATTACAGATTACAGAGATCAAAGATACGACACAATTTAATTTCAAATTCATAGTGAGCAGGAAAAATAAAATCAAGTGCAAAAAGGTAACCTGTTTTTGAGGGTTCACTCTTATCTTAGTAAGAGAGATACCGGTGTTGGTGAGTTTAGTCACCATCTCCTCCTCGGAGGGGAGGAACATTGCCAGACTGTTCCCTGTCTTGTGGTATCTAGCAGTCCTTCCTGATCTGGAGAGTATATCTGTTAATATTTTAACGTTACACCTTAATAAACTGAGTTTGCGAATAAATAACACTGCTGGAGAAAATAATTACAGAGCTATTACGGAAGAGCAGGAAGGAAGGCGGGGGGGGGGGGGGCAACCTCATAAAGCAACATTGATTTTTTTGAAATTTTAGGTGAAAATTTCATGTCAATATTTTTACTAATATAAGTTTCGATTAAAAAAGTTTTTGGAAATATTTTTATTTGTTGTTCAAAATTTTCAGAAACTATCTATATGAGCAGCCTTTTGAAAGTCTGAACTGTTCATAATCCTTTGATCAAATTAAAAACCCTATAAGTTTAAGGTACACAAAGGCAAAAAATCCAATTTTTCCCAACCCTAATAAATAAATTGTTAAAACTTTAATTTAATCCCCTCATGCAGTAAAAACACTTTAAAACAGCTACCACTATGAATAGAATTGAATGTATGATGTAAAAAGTGGGAAAATACTGGGGAAAAACCAACAAAACCAACAAAATAACCATAAATACGGTAATGCCCCCCCCCCCCTGAATATCTATGGTTCATGAATTATTACGGCAGGCTAAGTTTCATTTGTCAGATTAATAGTGAAGCGAACAATATCGAGATATTAATTGATATAATTGATGTACTTGCCAGACATTTCATGGCCCGTCCCGGAACTTATAGTTGATGTTGCAACGTGAGACAATGATGTACGATAGTTCTTTATTTTGTTTACATAATCATGAAGTGAAATACTGGCTCTCGCAATTCCCTGATAAGAATTTACTTTTTCCAATATCGGTGTTTGGTAATTTTTTTGACGTCATATGCATACCGTCAGGTAGTTGATATTTGAAAATTCAATTAATTATCAAGCGTTACATTTCAGCCATGCAAAATTACAATGAAATATTTTGATATATTAATTGATAAATGGTACTGCAATATAAGTTGCTTAATGTGTGGCCGAATGACAACTAACTAAACAAGAAAAATAAACTTGATTAAATACAATAATTAATTCGGCTGAACAAACAGTCAACACATAGCAAGAGCCACATTAACGTTGGGGCCGTAAATATGACGTCAAAAAATTACCAACAGTTATATTTTACAATTCCAGTGCTGCGAATAAAACTTGTGTTCTTTATCTTTGTTTCGTGATTTGAACGTTAGGAAGTCGAATTTCTGTACTTAGAAATCACTTTTATTAAATTTGGCTGTGCTGCGAATAAAACTTGTGTTCTTTATCTTTGTCTCGTGATTTGAACTTTAGGAAGTCGAATTTCTGTAATCACGTTTATTAAGTTTGGCTGTGTGTTTCTTAAAGTTAATCTTCGCTGGTGATATTTCTTAATTTTTCTATAAATGTTTCTTGATCGCTTGACAATTTGTTGCAGGCTGATGCGGGTTTTGACTGAACTGGTTCATACTTTTACACCTATTTAACTGTGACAGTGAAATCCTGGCCGTAGGCTACACTAAGTTATTAGATAACTAAGTTACACAATTCGTAACATAACTTGTTGCACATTCATGAAATAGATTAACATTTAAACTAACAATTAAAATTATTCAAATCCTCTCCGCAGCGATTACATGGCTAAGTTCCTGTCAAAAATACGGAATATCATCAAGATCAATGACATAACCCCAGCTCTCTTGGAAAAGTGGGGTCCCGAGGAATGCGACACGAGACGTATCCTAGCAACAGCATACCGTCTAACCCACTATTTTGGCTGGGATGATCTGATCTACGGTCACATCACTGTCAGAGTGCCAGGAGCAGATGATCACATGCTGATAAACCCGTACGGACTACACTACACGGAGGTAACCGCGAGTAACCTTATCAAGATCAATTATTCCGGCCACGTGATAGACCAGGGGTCTACCAAGTTCCCTTTCCAACCTGTAGGGTATGTGATCCACTCTGCTATCCACTCTCAGCGACCTGATCTTGGGTGTGTCATGCACATTCACAGTAAAGAAGGGATCGCGCTGACTGCTGCAGTTGAGAAGATTGAGCCAGTCACTCAGGCTAGTGTTGAGTTAGGACAGATCAGTTATCATGATTTTAGAGGGATAATATTCCGTCCGGAGGACAAAGAACCCCTGAGCAGAGATTTCCCAGCTCCCTCAAAGACACTGATTCTAAGAAACCACGGTCTGCTCACTGGAGGTAAGACGGTTGAAGAAGCGTTCAACATCATGTACTTTCTCCACCAGGTGTGCCAGTGTTATGTAGACAGCGGGTTCACTCACTCCCCAGTACCACCCAGCAGGCTTATTTCTCAGGAGATAGTGGACCTGTCCCGGGATGGAACTGATAGTTGTAGGTTTGATACAGGTTACGGGGACCAGGAGTTCGAGGCACTAGCGAGGCTGCTGGACTATCAGGGGTTTGAGACGGGGTATCCCCACAGCCAGGCCTCCAGGACTTTATTGGACCAGAATATGAAGTGAGGATGTTGGGAAACCGGGCTTGTGGTTAAATTGTCATGATTTAAGTGTGAACATGTTGAAGATGGCGGGACAAAGCTACTTGTCTATGTTACTGAAGGAAGTTGGGACAAACTCTAAAGAGGAACTGCGAACCCCTGATGCGGGACAGGGATTCTGGAGGGTTATCTGGCGTCGATCGGACTTAGTTCCGACATAGTAGTGTATATAATTTAAGCAAACCATAAAGATTTTTAGTTGAAAAAGGGTTGGAAAGAAAAATTACCCGTCCTTTTCACAGTTTTAATTTTTCATTTTTCATGTTTTCCATTTTAATTTAATGTGAAAATTTATTCCGGTATCAAATTTTTTTTATGAGAGAGAATACCGTAAATTTTTGTTTTAAAAAATTGGCTTAGAAATTTTTCCCAATTTTATACTAGTTTTACAAAGAGTTTTTACTTTTGTGACCAAAAAAACGCCCGGGTGAAAACGTTTAAAAAGTTTAGGGGGGGGTTTGTTGGATAGCTAATGAGACAAAAGTACGTTTCAAAAATTATTGGGACCAATTTGCTGAGGCCCCTTTATGTTGGGGTTCCCTGAACATGTGGGAACAAGGTTAAATTTGGGGGAAATTTCCCGGCCCCCCCTTAACACCAATTTTACAATTTGGGGTTTTCAATGGAAAATTGTTTTCGGTTCGGAATTACTTTTAACATCGAAAAAACTGCATGAGCTAATAACAGTAATAAAAGCTAGGAGCGCTCTTGACTGATAAAGTATTGACGAATGAAGAGTGACCAGAGAACCAACCTTATTTCTTATTATTATGTGTAATGTGTATGTATAATATCTTATGTGTTTGCACGCGGCACGCGGCACGTTCATCCAAACGCTTCGAAAATACCTAAAATTCGGGAAATATAAAATATAACGTTAAGGTAAATGTTAAAATGTTACCTATGAACATAGGTCTCCAAGTCTTCAGGGCAGTCCAAATGAACGACCCAATGAACAGCTGGTATGTCCAGGCCCCTAGCTGCGATATCTGTAGCGAGCAGAACGGCCGCTGAGAGAAAAGGGCTCTTATTGAAGATATTGAAGATAAAACAACGAATGAATGGAGGTAAATGTCGAATCTTCTCAAATCGTGAAAATATCTCGTACGAACTATTAGATACCACATAATTACTGTTTCTACGTCAAACACAACTATAGATTCACCTCTCCAATGTATCAACAATTAGATCATGAACAAATTACATTGATAGCTGACATCTAAAAAGGAAGGGCTATTTTGATTACTTACTTTACTTTATAATAAGATAACTAATAAACAAGATAACTAATAAATAAGATAACTAATAAATAAGATAACTAATTAAACAAGATAACTCACCTGTTTTCTTACAGAATGCCTCGTATATTCCGACTCTGCGGAGTTGGTTCTGTTTGCCGTGAAGTGCCAATATTGGTGTGCCTGGTCTCAGTTTGCAGAGGACGGCATTGTGGAACTGAACCTGCCGAGTGAATTATCAGTGAAACTATCACTTAAAGCGCGGTCACATCATTCTTTACACTTCTATAATATTTACTAATAAGATCTAGGGGATTAGCAAGTGGAACGAATTGGGTTGTTTAAAAACCAGTGTTACTATCAATTTAAGAATAAAGCTTTTCTTAATTACCTGTTTGCAAGAGGACATAAAGACTAGAATCTTTGTGTTGAGATGAGACTTGATGAAGGCGTGGAGCACCTCCAGTTTCACAGACAGTTCCAAAGTGACGTAAGAGTGACTGAGTTGGGTTGGAGTCTTGCTCTTGTTGGTGGAGACTACCACGCTCTCCTGCAATCGGCAACGTCTATTACACAATCTTTCAAGTGAGAAGAAAATTTGGGGAAAGTTTGAGGGAATTTGTTTGTTGGGTAAGATATACACAGTGTAGTGTAGGTTTAATTAATCATATTGGTAAATAATAATTGGGAGTCTATCAGGGACAAAAGGAAATCGCGGCATGTACGGAATCGCGATTTTTCCCATTTTTTGCGACAAATTTTATATGTCGTCTGATGTCGCCTGATTGGCTTGTCGCGGTATCACGATTTTTGGCCAAAATAATCGCGATTTTCTTTTGTCCCAGGAGTCTATAAATACCTTGAGAGACAAGTTAGCTAGTTTCATGATATTTTTAGTGCTGAGGGTAGCGGAGAAAAGGAGAGTCTGCCGCTCTGTTGGCAGGTTCTCAAGAATATACTTCATGGCTGTTGAGAAACCCAGGTCTAGGATACGGTCTGCCTCGTCCAGTACTGAAATAAGAGGCTCAATATTGTTCAGCAAAAGTACTTCTAGGTAAAAACCTAGTACAAACAACAAAGTTATGGTAACAGTTTCCAGCGGTAGTTTTTGTTTTAACAACCCAAAAAAATGATCGCGAATAAATAAAAGATCTAAGGAATTTACCGAGAAGCTGAAGAAGATCACAGTTAAATCCAGCAGTTTGGTCCATGTGCTGGAGCAGTCTCCCTGGTGTTGCTATGAGAATGTTGGTGCTCTGTATTCTCTTCCTCTCCTCCTCCACACTCTTTCCTCCTATTATCAGGCCCGCTGAGAAGTCATGCTTACACCCTACCTGTGGAGAGGGGTCATTATATTGGGGGGGGGGGGGGGGGGGGGGGGGGGGCACCACCTGGGGGAGGTCATCTGTTTCCCTTTAGTGCTTTATTTTCTGTACTTTCAAGATTAATTTATGTAAACATCCTTAAGACTGGCATTGACTGGAAAGTGATTTGCTGGTTTTCAAGGGTTACTAACACTAGGGTTTTCATCTGGAATATGAATAAACTAAAAAGTCCTGGCACCTTTTTGAGGACCTCGTATATCTGATAAGCAAGTTCCCGAGTGGGAGTGATGATGAGAGCTCCAGCTCCCATAGCAGTGGACCACTTCTCTCTCCACAAACATTCCAACACGGGAACTAGGAACCCCAACGTTTTACCACTTCCTGTTATTGCTTCAGCCTGGGATGTAAGTTTCTTGTAAATCCTTCTGTCTCATCAACTTGTTTATTTTTGACTCTAGAAAATTATACAAAATAACATTGCGTTCAAAACGAAACAGATTCTTAATAATTTTTAAAATTCGTACCTGAACATCGGAGCCTCTAAGACAGTGAGGGATGGACTGTCTCTGAATATCCGTCATATTCACAAACCCTGCTGACTCTAATCCTGACAGCGTCCTCGGAGAAATGGGCAAGTCCGAGAACTTCTCCATCGTTTCCGACTTCAGCTGTTTAAATGATTTATGTTACCTTAATTGGCACTTTTTAGCGAGTTTACTGATTGCAGCTTTTTGTAAGCTCTTTGTTCGGCATCAAAAGATTTTGTTCAAAGTATGTTCTTATTATAAATGTTAAAAGATAAATAAATGTATCTAAATTGAAAGTTGCTGGACACTCACGTGTTCATATCTTGAAGTACAGGATTTGATCTCCGCATCATACTTATCCCTCATTGCATTCTTGTTTCCCACCTTCTGCTTTCTCCCTCGTTTGAGAGGATGGGAAGACATTATCTGACTAGGGAAAAAGGAATGATAGGAAATGGGCACAAATATTATTATTATTGCAAAAATATCATAGAAAGCAAGTGCAAATTGGGGAATATTTGGAAATATTTATGATCTACAACTTTAAATTCATTACACATCTAAATACTTTACAACATGGAGACGAGACAGTAAAACTCTTCTTAAATATACGCGAATGTAATCTTGATATCTAAAAACTTCAAATTGTAAACATTTCAGGTCATAAAGTTCTCGGGCTTCATAATTTGCTTTCATTTCTCTTTTAAAAGGTGTCCATGCTATCGCGATAGAGTAATCGACACAAATCCGACAGTCTGGTGAGTGGAAATTCCTTCAATTCGTCGACTTCTTCCATAAAACTGAAAACACTTCACTTCCCCCTCCTAAAACTCCTGGAAATACGCCAGGCATTTGGTTCCTCGTATTTATTAAACAACGGCTCAATTTTCTCAGCCTTCTTGTTCTTACTAAGCTTAGTCTGATCAGCTGTCTTAAAGAAAGTAGGCGCCAGTTCCACCAGCCACTTTGCATCTATAGCAGTGCACTCCCTCATGTACTCTTTAGTGGTCAGCACTAGTTCGTGGTACACAACCCAGTCAGGCTGCCGCTGGTACAGGGAGCTGGAGGGGTGGATGTAGACTACCTGGTTATCCACAACTGTTTTGTAGCCCTCTTCTCGGTCTTTCTTGGGCCGCGTTTCGGAAGTAGCCCGAGCAGATTGCTTTTTGTATTTTGGTAGTTTTGCGGAGGCAGGATACTACGTCTAGCTTGTGTCTGTCCATGATGCCCAACATTTGCTTTCTGACATCTTGTGCTCGTTTCAGCGTCCTGAGGGTGATGTGTTAAATTATATGTTCATATAATGTGACTATATGTTAAATGGATTCAAACATTAAGTTTAAATTGATTACGATTCGATGATCATAATTGCGATGGCAACATGGATATTTATAGCCGAATTTTGAGCCCGAAGTTTAAACTCTTCTAACTTTAAATTGGATTATTGAAAAAAACATGCGAAACATATCGTTAGCCCGTGTTGAAGACAATGCAGTAAACATGGTTTTATATTAGAAAAAGTTAAGGTTACAGCGTTTGACCATCTGTGGGATCTGTAACTTAAAAACTAGAGGTTATTAAATAACTGACCTTGCTTGTAGGAAGTTCTCGTAACACCAATGAGAAGCAAAGTTATTGTTCTTCCACGCATTATAAACAGCAAGCAGGGTCAGATGGTCTCCCTCCGGTTGATGGAACTTTGCTTTCTTCTGATCCGCTAGAGTCTGCTTCTCTTTTGGGCGGTAGAACACGTTCTGAATGGACAACATGGATACAATCGTGATAGCCTCATCACTGCAACCCAGATTTACGCTCTGGATAAGAAGTTTTGATAGCTGAGGCTCGAGAGGGAACTCTGTCATTCTCCGCCCAAGCTTGGTGAGGAGACCCTCGTCATCCAGCGCGCTGAGCGAGTGGAGCTCCTCCATCGCGCTTATCATAGAATCCTTGGGAGGGGGGTCCATGAATTCAAACGAGAGTAGGTCATTGATGCCCATAGCTTTGAGTTGGAGAATGGTACTAGCTAAGTTGGTCCGCTGAATCTCAGGAACGGCTGTAGGCAACATTTCATCGTTGTAAGCTCGTTCTGTGTACAGCCTGTAGCATTTACCGGGTCCCGTTCTACCAGCTCTACCCTGACGCTGCTTAGCTTGAGCCTGAGAAATGGGGACCACCACCAACGAGTCCAGTCCTGCTTTGGAGTTGTAAACTTTCTGTTTCACAAAACCAGGATCTACCACGTAGTATATGCCATCGATAGTGAGGGAGGTTTCAGCGATGTTAGTTGCTATGACGACTTTACGAGACCCAGGAGGAGCAGGATCGAATATTCTGGTCTGCATTTCACTTGGCAGTGCACTGTAAACAGGGAGAATAACCAGCTCGGGGACATCCTCTCCCAGCATCTTCATTCTCTCAAACAACATCTCTGCAGCTGTGTCGATCTCTTCCTGACCTGTAAGAAACAACAACACATCTCCTGGGGGTTCAGTTAGATGAATCTGCATAACAGTTATCAAAGAGGCATCCAAATAGTCTGATTCTGGCTCTTTTGCATAGAATACCTCCACAGGAAACATGCGGCCCGGTATCGTGAATATCGGAGCTTCATAGAAATAGGATGAAAACTTAGCAGCGTCTAGGGTAGCGGATGTCACAATAAGCTTCAAGTCTGGCTTCTTTTGGATGGCCTTTTTCATCAAACCGAACAAGACGTCTGTCTGCACTGTCCTTTCGTGAGCTTCGTCCAGCATGATGACGGAATATTGAGTAAGATCAGGATCTATCAAACATTCTCTCAACAACATACCTTCTGTCATGTATTTAATCTTGGTGTCCTCCGAGGTTACATCCTCGAAACGGATAGTGTACCCGACCTCCTCCCCAAGTCGACACCCAAACTCTTCGGACACCCGTTTTGCTACTGACATTGCGGCCACCCTACGGGGCTGAGTACACCCGATCCTACCCTTCAGACAGTAACCTTCCTCGTACAGGTACTGGGTCATCTGAGTGGTTTTACCACTTCCTGTTTCACCGATTACCACTAGAATCTTGTGCTTGTTAATGGCTTCCACCAGCTGGGCCTTCAGCTGATAAATCGGAAGACCTTTTCTTTGCTCGACAATTGTCAGATCTGTACGCTTGCCGTAAGATACCTTTTTCCCGAAAGTAGCTTTCTTCCATTCAGGCACATCCTCTTGTTCCTCAACTTTGAACTTGCCGTAACTTTCTTTTTGTTTCGAAGCGTTAGGAGTTGGGTCATGGAATGAGGAAGTGGAGGCGGTCTCATCTTTCCTATTGTTCCTCACTTCAGTCCTCACTTCTCGTCTCTCCTTAGCTAACGCACTCTGGGTTGTGGCAGAACGTTGGAGGGACCCATCCGGATTCTTAACAATCCTGATCGGAGAGTGCTGTACACTCAGCTTGGTTTGACCTCGTAAGAAGAGCGGCTCCACCTCCGCCAGCTCAATCTCAACATCCTCAATATCAGACCCATCACCCTCCTCCAGCTCATCAATAGTGGGGTACTCACTCTTGTCCAGCACACCAGCAGCGATAAGCTGCTTGATTTCCCACCTCTCAGGGGAGGTGAGTCGTGTCACACCAGCTTTTCCACCAGCTTCCTCCCCCTCGTCTATCTCCTCCCTCAGCTGGTTCATCTCTGCCTCCAGTTTTGAGACCCGGGCCACGTTAACGATCGGTTTGTTTAGGTCACGTGGGTTAAGATCCTTTCCTGATGTCTGGTCCACTTCTTTCATGGATAAACTTGTCTTGTGACCAACTATAGAAAGTATTTTGACCCAAACAGCGTCGTTTTGCTGAACACAGTCTTCTACGCGGTTTACCCGCTCCTTTTTAAGTTGAGAAATGTGGACAAGACCCTCATTTTTGGAACCATCAATCGCAACAAAACAACCAAACTGCATGAGCTTCTTAACCTTCCCTCGGTAAACACCACCCACCTCCGGAACAACAGCTACTGGTGGTTTGTGGTGAGCAGGACTGCGAGACCGTCTTCGTTTGTTGTAGTATCGGTCTGTTTTTCCTCTGTCTCCCGATCTCGTTCTATTACGTTCGTCTCGACGCCCACCATCTCTACTCCTAGATCTCCTTCTGTCCCCCCTATCTCTACTTCGGGACCGTCTCCGGTCCCTGTCTCGAGATCTTCGTCTATCCCGACTCCTTGATCTTCTCTGCTGTGGTCTACTATCTGTACCGCGTGACCTGGCGTTTTGTGCGGATTTCTCATCATCCCATTCGGTAGGTTTACTCTCCTCTTCGCTGTCCCATTTCTTGTCATCCTCAACCTTACTCGACTCTTCACCCTTACTAGAAGGTGCTAGGGCCTCTAACTCCGCCAGAGCATCCGTCACTACATCAGCTTCTAATTCCGGAGCAAAATGTCCGTCCGGTATGCACAGGGCTGGGAAATCTGATTCTGTGTTGGTGGGCTTCAGTTCTGTTTTGGATGAGGAACCTTTCTTGACGAGAAGCGACGGCTGCATTGTTTGAATCAGTCTGAAAACATTGTTAATAAATGATTCCGGGAACTCTGCTCCATTTTTCTTCAGCAGTTGTTTAAATTTAGGAAGCTTTTTCCCTTTTTTGGCGAGATTTATGATGAATTCAGCAAGGTCTTTATCATTAATACTCATGTGGTTATCAAGTTCTGTACATATCTTGGATACTAAGGAGAGGTATTCGAGCTTCTCCAGAGCGTCCATTTCCTAAATAATGACTGTGGTGAGTTGTTCAAATATGATAAAAATGGGGAAAAAGAAAGGAGCGACAAATATTTGAAGATGACAATATATTTAATTTTAAGCTGTGTATTAAAGTAAGAGTTGCGAGACAATGGAACATTTAATCATATAAATAATTTGGGAACATAATAACACTTCTACATTTTCAAATAAATCTCAATTTTGAAATCTACAGAACATCCAGTTTGAAGACTTTCTTAGGAATTTCAACACATTTGTTCAAATGTTTGTTTTTTGTCAGGAGTAGAATTGTTGGGTCTGATATCAAGGATCGCTGGCCAGCGGTGATCACACAAAACATCCTCTACTTCATCGACTTTTTCTCCAGCTCTGCTTTGAGTTGTTTGGAGAAATCGTCCTCGATCTTGTCGTCGTCCCAGTTATCCTCCCATACCTTGTAGATTGGAGAATGTTAGAAATAAAATCGGCATAAAATCATAATTTCGATTTGTAGAAAATTTACTGTGACTGATTTACATAATATCATGCTTGAATGGACTCTACGACTTCGACTGGTCGAAGTCGTATACCATTGTTCTTCCAAAGAACAATGGTATGATTGATGACAACTATACCTGCAAGTCAGCCTGGTCAGTCTCCTCCTGCTTCCACTCTTCTACCGGGAACTCCTCAAACTCATCATCCTCCTCCAGCTGGCCAAGGTTGGGTTTAGCTTCTCCTTTAGTCATTATGAAACTAGTGGGGTGCTTGTTAGTCTGGTATGCATTATGTAACTAACTCATACACATAAGTTAGCACTAAGGTATAAGCGGCTTATTAAGTTAGAGCTTTCTACATAATAATTGTTGGAGAAGGTTTACCATGCTTGAATTCATAGAGGTAAATCAGATCATACAGTTAATATTTATAAGTCTATTGAATGAAACCATTGCAATGTAAAAGAAATTTTGAATCTGAATCGATGCTTCAAATGATCTAAAACTTCAATAAATTAGTCGTCTAAAAATAATAACTTAAGAAACCCAAAATATTTTTTGTTGAAACAGTCTTGCTGTTCCACAACGGTCAAGGAATAAAATTGGCGAAACAAAAATCCTACGACGTCCCGAAAAAACGATGCAGAAAAATCATAATGGACAACAGTTCAAAACCTAAAAAACAGCTGGATCAGTCAGATAAAACGATGTCTTCCACCATATCACCAGTGTCAACAAATTCTACATCTTCATCAACTTTCGTCTCTTCTTCTACCTTTTTCGTTTTCTTCTTCTTCTTTTTCTTTTTATCTGGTGATGATGCATCTGAAGAAGCACCGTTGACATTTTCTATTCCATTTGCGTCAGGAGTGTCTTTCGTCTTTGACTTCTTGGATTTCTTCGCTTTCTTCTTAGGAGATGGTGCAGTTTCCCCTTCCTCATCGCTATCATCAGCTCCAACATCCTCCTCCTCACCTTCCCCTCCTTCCTCCTCCTCCTCTTCAGCACTCTTATTAGCAGCCGCCACAGCTCGGTGTATCTTGAGCCAGGTGTTGAAGTATTTAGTAAGAGCAGAGTCAGGAAGCTGACTCTCCCACTCTGTCACCTTGTCCAGGTCCTTGGGGGTGAAGGAGACGCTCGACCTTTTCTCGGTGAGGTCACGTGATACCGCTTCCATCTTTTCTAGTAGTTGTTTCATCTGGGGACGAATGGCAATTAGTTTTCCTTATCGATTCAAAGAATTTTTAATTTCTTTTGATGAAGATTAAACTGAAGTTCAGAAAATTATGAACTACATTTATATAATATCCAAGGTTCAATTTCAAACAGAAAATCTTTACAAAACAAATTGAACGGAGCTTTTTTAATCGAGACAAACCTGAGAAGTGTACTTAGGATTGTTGCACTTTTTGTTAAACTTCCTCAACCACACAATTACAGGGAAAGAGACCTCAGGGAAACTGATGCTTTGTGACAGTTGAGAAATGTAGTTCAGGAGGAGTTCATATGTCAGGTCGAATACACCGTCCTGGAACGCTTTTGTCTTCTTGTAACCTTTCGTTACCTGTGAGGATTCCGGTTATATACCACGTGTTTTTATAGTTTATACCCTTCAATTTACTTTAATTAATTCAATATAGTTTTTACGTTTTGAAATAAAAACAGAGAATACGCAAAAATCCAACTGTAAAGCTCAAAAGAAAACTTACCCTGAGAACACAAGTAAGATCAACAGGTTTGGTAGCAGGTGCTTTGTGGACCACAGCACAGAAGTCCAGAGTTCCTAACAAGGAATGTACCAGAGGAATGTGCTTGTTAGTGGCAGCAGCAAGATGGAGCATGAGGCGGATGGAGTGGAGATGGAGGGGGTAGAAACACGGCGAACTGTGCAACTTTATCACACCCATCATTACCTGATTGATGACGTCATAAAACAAGAAAAATCGACGAAACTTATTATTTACAAACTAATTATCTTCAATCTTCGACCTTTTGTTGCATAGAAAGATCTCGTAACCTACAATTCCATTCAGATATCACAACAATTTCATTATAAATTCGCCACAATTTAACAACAATAATGTCACTACAATTTTACCTGTATGAGAGGGAAGATGAGGGGTTGAAGACAAGCATCACAATCCGATAACACAGATACCCACACGTGCAAACAGTTGACATACTGCCAGTTATAGACGGACTCAACATCCTTCTTGTTAACGATCACTGAGCGTAATGTCACTGCTAACTGTCGGATGTAAAGGAACCCCTGAAGAGTAGGGGTCAGTCTGGGACTGCAAGTTAAAGTCAATGAGTTAAAGTCAATTCGTAATTAAATAATTAGTAATAATAAGGATGTCACCAACGTAGCGAAAAGACGATGTAGTCCCATAAAATAATTGCTACAAAACGTCTATAGTCTATAACTTAAACGGAAAAATCTGACTCTAAATTTCAAGTATTTATTGAAATTGCAATTTGAAGCTTTTAGTGGTTAACTTTTTGTAGCATTGCTGTAACACCCTACTTACCGTGGTGTAAGTGCTGTAACACCCTACTTACCGTGGTGTAAGTGATGGAACACCCTACTAACCGTGGTGTAAGTGATGGAACACCCTACTTACCGTGGTTTAGTGCTGTAACACCCTACTTACCGTGGTGTAAGTGATGTAACATCCTACATACCGTGGTGTAAGTGATGTAACACCCTACTAACTGTGTAAGTGATGGAACACCCTACTTACCGTGGTGTAAGTGATGGAAGGGTTTATTTTAAACATTTCCACAAGACTGTTCCTCATCAACATAATGTTGTCACGTGACTTTGGGTTCATCATCTTACTGCACTTGGTGTACTCAACGTACATTTTCTTCAACATGTCCTCCAGGAATGTGGGTATCTTCTTCACTACCGCCTGTTTGGTAATATGTTGATTAATATTTGGGGAGAAGCTAGATTTAGTATGAAGATATATTTGGGGAGACAAACAATTTAGTGGGATGGAGCAAAGTAGTTTTGTACACAACAGCAACAAATCATCAAACCTGAAGACAAGTGAAAGCTACAACTCGAGAAAGCTCAGATTTGCTACCCCACACAGCTACATGACTCTTAACAAACTTCTTGATAAGTCTAGAGAAAGCAGCATAGTATGGTAACATGGCTTTACAGTGCCTCATCACTGCACACAGTACATCGTTACTCGTCAGCAGACCTATCGAATAGGGAGTGAATTAAAAGAAGGAAAAATTCGACAAGATAATCAAACCTATTTTAACAAAATTTCCATGAGACAAGCTTCGATTTTATAATGACACCATTAAGAGGAAAGCTCCGGGTATATAGTTATTCAGAAAACGTACCTAATAACTCAGTCAGACTGGTAAGATAAGACTTGAGAGACATTTTAAGTCTGTTCCACTTAGTGGAACTAGTAGGATTCTCTCCCAGGTGACTCTTCAGCAATTCACTGGTATACTTCAGACACATCATGATGACTTTATTAACAATATCTGGGTCTACTATGGTGTACTTCATCTCGGATTCTGGTTCATCTCCTTTAGCGGTAACGACAGCAGCTTGGAATGCCCTGACAAGCTGCTTCCACGTTGGCAAACTGTTCTTCTCCAGGTTTAACTTCCACTTTTTGAGGAGCTGTGGCGTAACATTAATTGCAGTGACAGTGGGTTCTGCAAGTTCAGGTTCTTCTTGACCAGCCATTTCTGTATTAGGATCTGGATCATTATCTGACATGTTCTCTGCCTCATCTTCTAAATCTTCTGGAATCTCATCCTCTGAATCTACTCCGGATAAACCGTCCGAATCTTCAGCCCCACTGAAATCAAGAAGGTATGGATCGTTCTCTTGTAGAAATTTGAAGAAATCGGAATCCTTTTCTCCGAGTCGTGACAGCCCTTTCTTAACATTGCCCGACTTGGGAATGTTTTCATCCTTGCTAGCGGTCTCTGGAGTCTGATCAGACTCCTCTGCAGTCTGTCCTGATGAGTCAGCCGTCTCGTCAGATACAGCAGGTTTAGATTTCTTTGACTTTTTCTTGGCCTTAGGCTTAGGCTTGACGGGTGACTCTGACCCTTGGATGGCATCGTTGTCATCGTCGAACGAAGCCATAAAATCGTCAGCATTCAGTTCACCTAAATCATCTCCTTTGACAGCTACCACTTTCTTCTTCTTTGTTTTAGGGGCTTCGAGCTTCTTTCTTTTCCTTTTCTTCTTCTCAGGCTGATTTTGCACCATCATCGCTAAAATGAGAATATGATGTTAAATACCCCAAATATGTGCAAAATCCTTTTGCGCGCAATAAATACTGTCGTGCAAGTGGTGTTAAATAGACTTTACTAGACTTTGAAACTTCGCGCCGTCCAGATATAACTAAGTTGTGGTGTAACTGTCTCATTCAGCAGGAGTTGCTCGTGCTACTGCGACAGTGCAACCGAAGAATCAATAAATCGTGACGAGGACATCGGGTGAAAACAGTTTAAATTTACATACGGGGATTCATAATTCATCGGTGGTATAAATAGATTGTTAATTCTGTATAAATAATTGAAAAGTGAAAATATTAAACAAATACTTTAGTACTAGTTGTCTAAGTAGAACATATCCTGTTCTGTATATAATGCAAATGCGAAATAAGTTAGTTTCATATTGACATGATTCGAGCAGTGACTACAAAAATGATTTTATTTCTTCTTCTTATTTTCAGTTTTCTTGTTACTCTCAGCAGATTTCATGTTCTTGGACTTCTCCAAAGCTTTCTCGTAGAACTCCTGTAGTTGAAGATCTCTCTTCAAGTTTTCCTGAAGAAAATTGGACTAAGCAAGTGAAAATGAATGTGCTAACCCTGTAACCCAAATAGATTCACCTAATAACATAGTTAAAATTAAAACTAAACATATCTGATACCATACTCCATCTAGCTGAAGTATAACTGTCTTGTTAGTTAGAGGATAGTGAACACGATGGTAAGGTAACTTAAGTTTAAGCTGGGTTTTTGTTGGGGACTGGCCAGAAGTGCCCAATGTTTACTCAAAATATATATGATATAATTATTATCTGTCAATAGTCAGAAGTCAAAAGTTAAAACTCATCTCCTAATAATGCAATTTCTAAGTTGTTAGAACAGGTATATAGTTACTAGCTAACCATTTAAATTTTGTTAGTACGACTGTTATCAGTCACGTAGCCGTGGTTGCTGGTGAATTATTGACAGTGTAACTGTGATGGTATGCAGTGAAATTGATTAAGTAATAATGTTTGCGAGCGTGTCTATGGTAATATGGTTTAAGACCAGGTTGTAACCAGCATAACGGTTATTGTAAATAGTTGCGTTTTTAATTCCTTAGTCCTGCTATATTATATAACACTAGAAACCCACTAGTCGAAAGCTTTGTTCGAGGAAATTTGTAAAATCAGCTATGTTTTAAAATCTCTTCATCATCTAGCTCTGTTATGCTGTAGAAATTATGGATTTTATTTGACAATGACGACAACGTTGTAAGTATTCGGAATCCCTAAATACCAAGTAAGAGATACTCAAACTTCAATTGATTTTTTGTTAATTTAATTGCATTAGGTTTCACATCAGGGCCACACCTCATGTTCTCAGATGTTACAGCCTATTTATAAATGAAATGAAATGAAACCGCATTTGGTACTGAAAATATTTGTGGGCACTACCATCTTCATGGTAGCATTTGGTACTGCGCTAAAAACAATCTCCATGATCAATGGTTGTAAACTTTGTTGAGAATAACTTTAATTGGTCCCAGAGATATTCACGGAAATTTGTTTCGTATATTTTGGCGACACTAAAGGTGTCCCTGCAATAATCTAGGCTCCTTGCATATCAAGGGATTACGTTCTTAACTTATGTTAAGAGGGATTATTTAATTTAATTCAATTGAATACTTGTCGCCCAGCAGACAAGTGCTCAAAGATGAATTCTTTATTAAACAGATCTCTCGTGGCATGGTTAATTAATAAAACATTAAAAGTAAAATCCTTTTGACTCCCCTGGCACTGGATTATCGTGCTCTCAAGAGGCACAGTGTATTACACTGCCCGTTACTCACTTTGACTAACGGTTTGCTCATCGATACCCATTCGACCAAAAATTGAGGAATTAATGAGTATGGGTCCCCCCCCCATCACTGTCACTGTCGTGTCGTGTCGAAACAAAAGTTGTTCACCCCCACCAGTTCTATTACACGGTAGTTTACAAGTTTAAAGCAGGTACCATTTAGAAACAGAACATGAGATATCCGATAATAGATCTACAATTTAAACATACGGATTGTGGAGTGACTGGAGCATACAATGCAGTCACATACACAGTAAATCCTTGATTGTATAATGTATAGAATCAGACAAAAGAGTTGGCCCACTTAGCGCTCCAAACTGTTACAACAGATAATTAAGAGGGACACTCGACCTAACCCTTGTCTGGTGACCAATCAGCGGGCTGTATCCTGACCACGTGACACCAATCAACCAGTAGTGGGGGAAGTGTCAGATAGTTTTACAAGAGCGATGCAGGTTACTACTTACGTAGCTCATAAGATACTGTTTGCCGTTATTGGTCTGCTTTATCCTGGCGGCCGGGACCCCTCCTTCAAACACGATTATTGCGGGGAGTTCTGTCTGAAAATGCGATTTGTTAGTTTTGAAATTTTGATTATATTTATGTTTATAATATATTATTTTTAATTATCTTTATGTTTATTTATTATGTCGTTGCATGTTTTACTCTTTAAATTAACTGTATGACCCTCATTTGTGTTGGTTGAGATTGAAACAATTTAGTTCAAGTCGAATAGAGAGTCGTTCTAGTTTTTGTCAGTGATTGGTAGAGAAGAATTTGTGTCGGGTACAAGGTAAGACGAAAAAGTTGTCCAGGAAACGTCATCGCAATTTTAACTTCATTCCCCATGATCTGATTTTGGAATTTTTCGAGAATGATGAATGTTTATCACAGGGCCAAAAATATTTTTCGCAATTTTTAAGTAAAAAACGACCGATAGCGCCCCTAATTGATTGTTTCCAAAAACCTATACTAATACTAAAGGTTGTAGCATAGCCCTGAATATAAATAATTGGTTATGGACAATTTCTCCGGTTTAATCTTCTGTTGAGAACATTCTAATTGTAATTGAGGCTCTCTGAACGCGCAGGCCATAAGTTTAGTCGTTATAAGATAAGACATGATGAAATCACTTTCCAACCTCTGTACATATTACACTGTTGTTAGAATGGCCACTTACAATAGTTACAGCTTCATATTTCATGGATCATACCAAAAAAAAACTGGTCCGTAAACATGAACCACGCAATTAAAATAGGAGGAAACAAGTACAGATCTCATCAATTAGATCACTGATAACGAACTAGCAGCTAACTTCAGATTAATGCCCGCTATGTTATTTAATCTGTGGGCAGTCTTTAAAGTGCAATCTAGTTTAAAAGGTAGAGCGCTGGATAATGTTCTGTAACTTTACAATTTCATGGCAGCGTTATCACGTAGCAACCGTCAATGTTATTTCAGTCGACTCAGGTGACTCATTTAGTATATAATTGTCTGTCATTGCTTACAGTTTACGAGATACATGTATAAGTGGGTTTAAGAGCTTTTAACGTTTACCGTAGTTTTTTATCTTCTTTTATTAGTTTCATCTAGCCTAAGTTTCAGTGAACAGCTAATTAGTATCCGCTAATTACTGTAATTAGTATCTGCTAATTACTTTAATTGATTGTTAACAGTAAACAAGTACCCTGAGACAGGAGGAGCTGATATCGTAGGATTCGGGAACTCCGTGTGACTTTAACACGTCACATTTCCCAAACTTCATGTAGTCATGTGTATACCTGGGTAATTAGTTGGTTAATTGATTGGTTAATTACCTGGGCAATTAGTCGGTTAATTGATTGTTTAATTACCTGGGCAATTAGTCGGTTAATTGATTGGTTAATTACCTGGGCAATTCACATTAACATATCCTATTTATAAATAAGTCTCGTCAAATCATTTCAAACCATATTTGAAGGGGTACAATATTAAGATTCAGCAGTTTCAAGATTAACAAAACTAAGAAATTAAGAAATTCCAACTCACTCTCTGCTCAAGGCACCAAATATAGGTTTTACAGCGTTGCAATGTGGACTAAAAGTGGTGTAAAACTCAACAACCCATATACTGTGTTTATCGTTCTTAAGCTGCTCAGGTAGGGTATTGTCAACAAAATACTTCATCTCTGAGGACTCCTCGAAACTGGGTGTCCGCACCGTTACCATGAGAACTGAGGGGAAATAGTTACCATTAAAACTGAGGGGGAAAAAGTTTTGTCTTTTTGTTCGCTTACTTATTTTGCTTATTTTGGTTGTGTTTATCCTCGTAGCAGGAAGGGTCATCAGATTTATGACCACCTCGATGGCGAGTAGTCTACCAGGGAATTAGACCAGCTGCATCTATAACCGGAAGTCGGAGGGTTGTCCGGTATCAAAGCAATAAACTTGGACAAACTAATAATTGTAAGGATAAGAAGTTTACGTTACCGTGCATATCTATTTAATTTATTTACAGTTTCCATTGCCATGCCCATCGAAACCCATGCCCGCCCATTTGACCAAAAATTGGGAAATCAATGAGCATGGTTAGCCACCCTGTCTGTACCATATAAATCAGTCTACATAAGACCCACTTAGTGACTGTATTATTATAATCTGTTCTAATCGTGATTAGTTGTATTATGTTATTTCTAATTCGTTGTACTATTTTGTTTTCTGAAATCAAATCAAATTAACGTAATTATATATTAAACTGAATACTTTATTTAAGTATTCAGTTTATTTTCTTTAGTTCTTTAATGATAAGTATTTCTTATGCTATGACGATCTTGTCCAATCTATAGCTCGCATAAAAGCCACAGTAATCAGTCCATCAAGCAATTACACGTCCATTTTTATACATATATATGAGCCATTACATCTCCATTTTCAAATAAATGCCCTATTACGAGGAGTCATAAACTCAGTGTGACGCAGCAGACTAAACGTGAAGACCGCACATTTGTACAGTAGATCCAATCACTCTCCTTATCAATATGTTAAAATTTGTACTAAGGAACTGGGTACTCTCACTTTCAATATCTATACTCATATTCAAGTATAGCTTTATTCAATATTTTAGGTCGTAACAGACCTATTCCAGTCTATAACCTTGTATTCGATGGTAACATCAACGGTAATCAATCGCGCTCCAAGTAGCAGTTTTACACAACATGTTGCTGATTCCGTCCGGTCAGTCCAACATCCCACATACCATTTAACCGCTAAGCTGACGAATTTCAATGGTTATTAACGACGTCATGACAAAGTTAGCTTTTCCAAATTTTGGATGTCTACTCAACATTTCTGTAACCTTATCCTGCACAAGGCACCATATGTGCGGACACACTTAGGAACCACTTAGGAACCAATTACCATATGGATAAGTGTTTAGGGCTCAGTATGAAGGTTTATAATTACTCCATTGGTTCTGTTTTAGTGAACCTGACGACCAAAGTCAGGCAGATGTTGCTATAACCATCATTTACTGGTCTAATAACTGCTCATTTCTCGGACAACTTCCTAACAGCCCATTTCACATATATTTTCAAGTCTATTCGTTGGCTTAAACCCCATGTCACTAGTATCAATGTAGTTTCCTTTTCCTGTTATATTTTGTTTCAGACAAGATAAGATCTCCCATATTGTTCTACAACACACAGCGCTCCTCCCAACCTCGATATATTTAGGCTCTACCAATACCAGTCCTGAAATCTCAGGGTTATTGCTGGTCGTACGTCTATATACAAAAACCTTAACTCCTTGGTGGCATGCCCAAGTACTAACCTAGCTTTATAATGCGGTGACCTCCCACTATGCGGCCCCCACTATGCAGAGTCACACTACGCGGGTCCCCACTCCCAAGCCCCCTGGTCTAGATTCTCATATCAAAAGAATAAATCTGCAGTGTGGAGATTTGGCTGAATTCTATGACATAATTATCGTACACTATCGTACACACCATCCTACTAAGGATACACCACATATATGGACGAAGTAAAGCGTTTGCTTGTTAAGTTTGGTATACGTTTTACTGTTTTATTGTATGCAGATTACTTGGGGGTCCATGCCTTGCATTTTAATGTTATACCTTTGGCTTCGAGGAAGTAACTAATTTATTACTTAATTTATCATGTATTAGTTATAATACGAGTTCTTCAGAATTAGTGATAATTGGAGCATAATATTTACTCATTTCCGCAGTCTAAAATTTATTAACGCATCGACGAGTAATCGTTTAGAAAAGACTAAAGTAAACTTCTTGTTAAATCATTGCGGCCTTTATGAGATGCTAAACAAATTGTGCACAGAACAATATATATCTCTAATTTCGTCATCAGGTAACATCACGTCAAAACGTAACACCCGTGGGAGCATTTAGCTGTAAACCTTTCTGCAGCAACTGTAACGGTGACAGTAAGTGCCACCATTATCTCGTTACCAATAGTAATAGCGTTCCGGAAGTTACCGGCCCATTTGCTCACATTTGTTTGGGAACTTTATTATTCGCAGGAATTAGACCTTGTGCTAATAATATCGCTGTTCAGTTGACTTTACACTGCGAGTTTTGTTAGATCTATAGATATTTTCTCTAGCTCGCTTTCAAACAGGTTCCAAATAAAACGATCATATTATATCAGTTTAAATATAATATATATGTAATTGGAACTAAAACGTGGAACAAATTGACAAATGATATCAGATCATTGAAAAGATGCCTGTTTTAGAAAGTTTGTAAAACTTTTATTTTCAATACAGCATTTGTGGTTGTTAGTGCCCATAAAGCTTTGTCATCCTCGATCATTTTGATTCAAGGAAACTTTGTACATAATTCCATTCCTCTGTTACAATAACGTGCGAATGACTAAACCTTATCATGCTTATCATGCTTATGACCATCTTTATTAACAGATGATTTTGTTATTTTTTGAAGCGTGTAATTCATATATGCCACAATTTGTTGATTTATTATTTAATCGATAGTTAATTACACTGATAATCAATTTGTAGTCTCATGTGATGAGATTATCGAATACTTTATGGTGTGTCATGGTGTTGTAGTAAAGCGAACGTCGGTGTCTCAAGCCGTTAAAAGCAGTAATTCAGTCTGTTAACTGTGTTTACGTCAAGGGCTCGATTACGATACAGTTAACCCCGAATTACTGTACCTATTCCCTTCTACAAAATATTTGAAATCCTTCGAGTCTTGTTTACGAATAGTGCCTTTGATGTCGTGTTTTGGTTTCTAGACGAAATGTTCCTTGTCTAGTGTCCTTGTCGAAGCCACTGACTAACCGACTTATTTTATTTATAACATTTTACTCTTCACTTGACCACTTAGCTATGCTAAATATCTCTATCATGTTTACGAAAAGCGATAATGATTTATCCGCTTTTAGCTTCAACACACACTTTTCTTTCTGTTTCCTTCACTTCAAAATACCCCAGTGGTCATGTAAACACGGAAGGAGAGATCTACACTCCATCATGTCCTTGTTTCACGATGTTAACTCAACTGACCCAGACGCTGAATCTCAACACATGGTTGACATTTCTTTTGGGTTGGCGTTCATCTTCTTGTTCTTAATTTCAATAATGCTAAACCCTCTCAGTTTTCTCTATCACAGTCGGAAGAAGACGCTATCATGCGCACTCTATACCTACCTTGCAATCTGTGATTTCGTAGTGAACTTGTGGCACCCGCTTGCTGCAGCACAGTACTTGCTACAAAAAGAGCGCCCTAAAAACCATGAAGCAACAACCAACGAGCGTTGCGCTTTCTTTGTGTATTCGACCTTCTCGCGGTTCAGCGGTCTTCTCATCAATATCATCCTAATATGCGGCGTGGTCGAGATAACGCGCCCTAATACTACCATACCAAAGGGTCCTGTGTTGCGCCTGGTCTCAGCTCTGTTAGGCCTTTACAGTCTGTTGCAGTTCCTGGTTGCTTTCTCCCCTGACAACATAGGCCCACCAACCTGGGCTGCCTGGAGTCTGGCTATACATTATCAGAATAGTCTGGAGGTCGTTGTTTGGGTCACTTACATCATCTTCTTTATTCCCGGCCCTTTTGCAGTGGTGGCAGCGATCCAATTCCTCTCAAACAGCAGCTATCTTGAAGTGTCGAGGTCTGAATTCATTAAAATCATGCTGCTGACCATACCTAACTTTGCATTTCCAATATTCTTGACTGTAGACTTTTTCTCTTGGCACAGTGGAACAGGAAATTACCGCTCTGAGCAGAGTGATCCCATTGATGCGAACGTCATGACTTTTTTCGGGAAAACATTCATCCCCACCTTTAGTTCGGCGTGGAATCCTCTTTTTGTGTGCTTACTGACACGGGACTTGAGAGTCATGGTGAGTGACATGTTTAAAAAAAGAAGCCAGAGATCAAATCCTGATGAGCATGATATCCTTTAGAATTAATGCAATAACTAGATACAATCTGTCCCCCAGCCTTTTATGCCAACAAAAGGTAAGAAATCTAGTAGTAGTATCCACTGGCTGCTGAAATTTATCGATGCTGTCGGTAGTAGACACGAATTACATACAAGTTCTATTGTACTGCTCCAACATGGAGATAGGACTACTCGACGAACATATTATTACTCTGAGGAAAGAAAGGGCGACGGTTATTTAACATGATTTTTAATCACTCAGGAATTTGTTTTGAGGATTAGGGAGTTGGTGCTGCTTAAGATCTTGCAATGTTCTGAGACCCTTTGGTTGGTATTTTGATTATGTGTACTGTTGCACATGTATACGTGTATTTATTTTCATTCTATTGGTAATAAAATTACAATTTATAATTATTTCATTATGTACATGTTTGGTTTCACTTCCCTGATTTCCCTTGCACTAATCGATGACATAATAATTTGAAATATATCGACATTAACTGCTGAAAAGATGAAAATAATACTGTATTACAAAATTGAAAGAGAAGCTATATATGTAAATCTTAAGTAAAACCATCATCAGACTAACCTATACAAAAGATAGTGTACCAAATAGCCAGCTGAATGCTCATCTTGTAGAAAAGAATAGCAGCCCCAGCTTTGGCGAACACGAACAGAGTGGAGAGGTATGACTCCACGCTCACGCACCGCCGATTTTTAATCGCTACCACGCATATCACGAAAAAGTAGATCTCACATTCGTACTGAAAATATTATTTATATTAGTTTACTAAAACAAGTCTTTTGTCTGAAAACATGGGTATTAGGTAAGAGGTGAATTGCCCCGTTTTCTTTTCACAGCTAATAAGCATTAAACATCCAAATATCCAAAAACAGGAAGAATTTAAAATACATGCCAGCAATTACTAATTAATAATAATTAGCTAAACTAATTAGCAAATTGTGATCCACAAAACACAATACCTACAAAGTCAAGTGTACAGTTGCCTCCCACCCAGTTGCAAAGGCCAGGAGTGAAGCGGAGTAAGGGATGGAAGAATGAGGCTATGGTGTTCAGGATGAAGTACGGGGTTGCTAGACTTCTCAACGTCTTCTTCAGCGCGTACACGTTCACCATGGCTATACAATACCAAATAAATATCTGACAAAGTAAGTTAACATTTACAAGGTTGTAAATCAGGGTGATTGTTGGTTACTGGGTACGGTGTAGCCTCATGTGATCACATTATAATATAGATAGATAAATAGCCACCGGCCATTATAATACGGCCAAACAATTCCGAGATGTTCTAAAATTATTTAATTATAATGAGTTGAATCAGTAATTCTGGAATCTTAAATATAAACATTATAACTGCATTAAAATCATTATTCACAATGACTTTCAAAATCTCAACAACTGATTAAATGAATACCAGAAGTTGTAACTAACCCCAACATTTCAGTCTAAAATATCAGGCCATTTCTGTACAAAAGATGATCAATAACAAAACATTTTATTAGTGATCGGTTACTTGGTCACTACTTGGTCACTAATTGCCCGCTCTGACAGTAACCCTCCGATAGTGGCCATTCCGAATAACGTCAAAATAGATCCTCATGATATGGCTATTCAACAACTTCCAGCCTCTCAGTTCAATTTGCATCAGTGAAAGAGAGCGGGTACCCAGTAGCTACTATCCACCTCATCTATCCATATCATACCCTGATCCATTAGACTATCAATTGTTTGGTTTATTCTTAGCTCAGGCCAGCCCATTTTCTCTAAACTCGATATCGTCAAACTCCCGCCACTCTGGCTCGCTACCTGTAATCATTATTGTAGGTTTTAATAGAACCGTTAGTGCGTTAATTGACAGTAACAAGTTCTTGGAGTCATGACGCCATCAAAAACTATAAGTATCGTAATTACGATCAAATGAGGGCGATGTGAGATGTCAACCTTTAAATGACCTCGCCTTCAGGAGATTACCACACCATACTTACATCTAAAGCAGTAGTATGATCCATGGTCAGTTCACCAGGAACCGACTGTACAAGGCTCTGTTTTCCAGCTTTCACTATCTTAAAGCCATCACCTAAAGACAGCGATATGTGAATCTGTGTTTTAAAAAGGAAGCTTATATACCTTTGACGTTGCTAATATTGAGGATTCATCCGATCCTAGCCTAACAGGTTTAGCAAACCAAATCATTAGCTGATATTACCACTGACCAGCAGTCACATGACCAGTGAGCAGCGGTAACATGACCACTGACCAGCGGTCACTTCAAGGCACAGACTGCTCATTATAGAGCCTACTTAATAAGTATGCTTATAGTACTTAAATACATTTGTTAAAAACCTTTGAATGATTATTTACAATACTATATACCCTAGAGCATATTTAAATTATAGGTACCTAGGACAGCAAGCTTGCCGATAGCTCTGGAAACGTCATCAGGTTGAACGTCTTTACGTGTTTTGCCGCTACTTTTACCCAATCTAGCAACTAGATCCTCCATAGTGATGATACCTCCGTTAATCGGTCTAGTAGCTAGACACACCTGACAATTACAAGGGTGGTTATCAGAGAGAACAATCACTTACAGAGAGATAAACAACCCTTCTAATTAGAAATATATGCTCTGAGCACGTACTGAGCACGTACATGTTTGGTACCGAAAATTAAATTATTTAAATATTATTCCTCACCTCAACGATTTGAACTCCAAGTTCATAGTAAAAATCGCCAACTCCAAGTAATTGGGCCCAGAAACCTTTGGATGAAGCAAGAGGATCGACACCTATCTTTGAGCACATGACTTGAAAACGGGCCCTGAATCAAACTTTGAGTGAACCCCAATTTCATGATTAATGATAAGCAGAAAAAAATAGACTTGTAAAATTTATTCTACAATTAGTGTATTCCCGGCCCAAGGCGTTGTTTGATTTTTGAGGCTTCTCCTAAATTAAATTGTATTATATACTGTTAAGTCATTAAGGGTTAATTGTATATACAATAATACAATGTATTATTGTGTATAATAAAATTTGCAATAAATTAAAATTAACGGCTTCATTAAAATTTACCTAAACTCAGGATTTTTCTTTATCTCATTTTTATATTTCATTGCAAATTCCTCAAGGGACTTCTTAAATACATCCATCTGCTGCGAAACCTGCTGCACTTGTAGTTCAGCAATTTCATTGCCTTTCTGAAATATTTAAAATGTAAAATTTGTGTACAAATTTACTTAATATTTAAACAAAGTGAATTCAGAACCTTAACTAACAAGATCATCGAATACAAATGACAAATCTCTGTACAGGTGTAACCAAAAACCAAAACTGCTGGAATAATTGATATTCTTAACATAATGATATCATGAATCCGATATTACAATATTATCTTCAACTCAACTCTTTTTTAAAGTTTAAAGAGAAAATACCTGTGTTAGTTTCTCTTGTGCAAGTCTTTGCTTTCTGATAGCACCTATTCCCACGTTCCGTCTCATCCTTGTGTCAATTTCAGATTTCCATTTTAACTGATTATATTACCTTAATAAGAGGAATTATTATAAAATAATAATTTGGTACACCACAGTCAGGAGGTGATTCCCGGTATAATTGTGTTTTGGCTAGGGCTAAGTATAGCTTGAAGGGGGCAGGGGGGTATTCATGAAAATTTCCTCGAAATCGACATTTTACTCGTTTTTCTATTAGAAAAGAAACTTATGCTTTAAAAAATACCTGGAATACTGATTACTGATGTAATACTGATAGTAAGAAACCAAATAATTAAAGATCTTAATTATGACTAAAACAGATTATCGATATAAAGTTTTTCCAAGTTCGTGAAGGTGCCATATTAAAATGTAGGTTTTTTCCCGATTTAGGGGGAGGGATATACTTTAATATACAGGGTGCCCAAAAGTAACTACCCACACGCAACCCTTTAATAACTCACGTAATTCGTGTCAGAATTTCACACAAAGATTTCAGAGAATATAGATATGGGTCAAACTTAGAATTTCACCCAACAAACCAGTACTTGATTCTTGACAATACAACCCTGGTATCCTCTACTGATTACAAGCACTCAAAATCCAAAACGTGAAATTCAGCGGTAGTTATTAGAAATCAAAATTGCGTGGATTTCAAGCTGCTTCAATTATTACAAAAATTAAATCTGTTTAGCGCCGGATGGAGGAAATCCTTGACGTATTTGACGTATTTCTCTCAGAAATGAAATACACTGTATTTTGAAGCCGTTTTTTGATGTATTTAACAGCCATGCATGTATGAAATTGTTTCTAAGATAATATGAAAGTTGTTGACTTGATACGGGGAAAAAACTTAAATTCAAGACTCTCGTTATTGAATGGCTGGGTGGCCTAGTGGTTAGAGCTTCCGCCTTCTTATCTGTACAGAAGGTTCAGGGTTCGAATCCCAGTTTCACTCAGTCTAGGGAGTAGCTAAGGATTCATTGGATCTATGTGATCTCCTCGGTCGACTCAGCCGAATGATAGGAAACTTGATTGAGGGTTAAATGAGGAGGGGTGCCTGTGCCAAAAGATCAAGAATCTTAGGATACTCCTTCAGAACATCTACAATGTAGTGTACTGTAAAACAAGGGCGGTCGAACTATTCGATGACCCTCTAGAGGAATCTACGAACTTTACAAATTAATTTAATTATTATTATTTATCGTGTTTTAAAACTTCTGATATTCGGATAAATGAATCATTTTACCTCGTAAAATAACACCATTAACCTTATATTTTGTTAAATGCATTATATAAATTATAATGAGAAACGAGAATTAAACTCAAAAGAGTGAGTCTTTAGATGATCTTTGAGATCCGATTTCTGAACTGTTTCATATGAACAATCTGGACATTTAAAAGGTTTTTCTCCCGAGTGAGTACGCATATGTACTTTGAGGTGTGATTTCTGAGCTGTCGCAAACAAACAATCTGGACATTTAAATGGTTTCTCTCCAGAGTGAATATTCAGAGTATGTTCTTTTAGGTGTGATTTCCGAGCTGCTGCATACAAACAATCTGGACATTTAAATGGCTTCTCTCCCGAGTGAGTAATCAAATGTACTTTAAGATCTGATTTCCGAACTGTTGCATATGAGCAATCTGGACATTCAAAAGGCTTCTCTCTGTGAGTACTCATATGTACTTTAAGATTTGCTTTCCGAGCTGCCGCGAACGAACAATCTGGACATTTAAATGGTTTCTCCCCGGAGTGAATCTTCAAATGATTTTGAAAAGCTGATTTCTGAACTGCTGCATAAGAACAATCTGGACATTTAAATGGTTTCTCTCCAGAGTGAGTCTTTAGCTGATCTTTAAAGTGTGATTTCCGAGCTGTTGCATACGAACAATCTGGACATTTAAATGGCTTCTCTCCAGAGTGATTACTCATATGCACATCAAGTTGAGATTTTTGAACTGCTGCGTACGAGCAATCTGGACATTTAAATGGCTTTTCTCCTGAGTGATTCCTCATATAATGCACATCAAGATATGATTTCCGAACTGCTGCATACGAACAATCTGGACATTTAAATGGTTTATCTCCTGAGTGAATCTTCAAATGATCTTGTAGGTTTGATTTCCGAGCTGTTGCATACAAACAATCTGGACATTTAAATGGCTTCTCTCCCGAGTGATTACTCATATAATGCACATTGAGTTGTGATTTCCGAACTGCTGCATACAAACAATCTGGACATTTAAATGGTTTATCTCCGGAGTGAGTCTTCGTATGTATTTTAAGATCTGAGTTCCGAGCTGCTGCATATGAACAATCTGGACATTTAAATGGTTTCTCGCCGGAGTGAATCTTCAAATGATTTTGAAAAGTTGATTTCTGAACTGCTGCATATGAACAATCTGGACATTTAAATGGCTTCTCTCCCAAGTGATAACTCATATGCACATCAAGTTGTGATTTCCGACCTGCTGCATACAAACAATCTGGACATTTAAATGGTTTATCTCCAGAGTGAGTCTTCGTATGTACTTTAAGATCTGATTTCCGAGCTGCTGCATATATGAACAATCTGGACATTTAAATGGCTTCTTTTCTGAGTAAGTTGTTACGTTATATCGAAGAGTAGCTCCGATATTTTCTTGAGGATTGCAAGTTTTCAGAGGAATGCAAATAATGTCCAATCTATTCCTGATTCCAGATCCTAGACTACTAATATTATCACTATCATTTTGAAATTCATCACATTTTGGTCTTTTTCGTTTGCCAGAGTTTTCTACATGATCTCTGATATGTTTAATGAAACTATCCTCCTCCAGAAACTTTTCCCCACAAACTGAGCAGAGGAAGCCACCGGACTTTCCATTAATTTTTGTCTGCTCCGTTTTTACTTCTGATTTCAAAAAGTCACATTTATTTTTAACACAACAACCATCTTGTTCTTTAACGTGACTATTGTCATGAAAAGACCCTCCAGTAAAGTCACTGAACAATCTTTGTTCCTCATCCTGTTCTTGTACTTGTAGGTCAGGCTTATAATGACGTTCCCTGATATGTTCAATAAAATACTTCTCATAGAAAAGTTGTTCACCACATGCTGGACACAGAAAACCTCCATTTTCGCTTCTCGAATCCTCTTCTTCAGTCTTTACTTCGCTTTTAATGTGAGGACATGACATCTGAAAAGAATTCTGGTTGAGAGTATGAATCGCTTGCTAATTTTTTTAAATTCGATTAATTATCATATATGAAAATCAAGCGTTACATTTCAGCCATGCAAAATCCAGTGGCGTAACGTTGCCTGTTGGCGCCCCCCTGCCGAAAAAAGCGCCCCCCTGTTGGCGCCCCCTCCCCTTTTGGTGCCCCTCCCTAAAATTGAACAAATTAGGTGATCTTAAAGAATACGCCGGTAAAATCTCTAAAAAAATGTGTATCTAGAGCAAAACGCGCAGTTTTGCTAGTACTTTAGTTAAGTTTTCGAAATTTTCCCACATTCAAACGACGATTTGGCGCCCCCCTAAGACGGCGCCCCCCTGCACAGCGGGGTTAGCAGGGCCTTTCGTTACGCCACTGGCAAAATCACATTGAAATTATTTTGATACTAGTGTAACCCGTGCATACAGCCGGGACTTCACTATTGCAGTGGAAATGCTAAAGTATGTAATAAACCTCCCTATTATATTTGAAAACATGCATAACATTGTCGTATGAAAGTATGAACTCTCTATACAGTCCAAACAGACCACAATGAGTGCAATCCCCCCTAATAAGCTTATAGTATTATCTAGTGGCAAACCTAATTATGATTCATGTACCAACACTACATAATATGCAGAAATGGGAGAGAGAGCGAGGACACAGGAGGGCCAAAGTGCAAAGAAACTGCTGCTAATTGCTGCTCACTGCTGCTGTCACGCGTGCGCCACTTGCAGCAGTTAGCAGCAGTTTCTTTGCACTTTGGCCATCCTGTGAGGAGGAAGAAAAAGAGAGCCATTTTATGTCACATTAGTGATACAAAACCATCAATTAAACCACTTACAACCGACCAATTTGAAAAACCTTATTCATAAGGCTTCGACAGAGTTTTGACGATGTGTGGACTAGGAACCTTGCCGGATTTCAATCTCAAATCCGGCAAGCCGGATTTTGCCGGACCGGAACCGGTGGTTTCAGAGTGAAATATAAGGCAGCCGGATCTTGCCGGATTTTGCCGGATCTTGCCGGAAAATTTAAATTCATATTCTTATTTTTATACTTTTGTCATTTAATTATCATAATATTAATTATAAAACGTGATAAAGATAAATACTAGAGCTACTGTTCGTAATAAGGTTCAGTTTTCCTCTAATTTAATACTGCCAAGGTTGCGATTATAGCCCGGGGCTAGCCCAGGGAGGTGGCCGAAAATATTTTTTCGATTTTTTCTTAGTCCGCACCTACCCCTCGATACATAATTCTGGACTCGAGGTTTCCCCCGGTAATTCGATCTCGGAAGGCAGGCCTCCCCTTAGCAACATGAGCTCGGAAGCGGGAGCTCTCGATACAGGAGGTACGTCTCAAGAACGACTCGGACCGAAAATTTTCTAAGTCAAAAATTTTTCTAAGTTTTTCTGAAAACCACTTTTTTCCACGATTCAGGTTACCTTGTTCATTATTAGCCGAAAATATTTTTTCGGTTTTTCGAAGTCCGCACCTACCCCTCGATACACAATTCTGGACTCGAGGTTTCCCCCGGTAATGTGATCTGATCTCGGAAGGCAGGCCTCCCCTTTTATTTGCAACACGAGCTCGGAAGCAGGAGCTCCCGATACAGGAGGTACGACTCGGATCGAAAATTTTCTAAGTCAAAATTTTTTCTAAGTTTTTCCGAAAACCAATTTTTTCCACGATTCAGGCTACCCTGTTCATTATTAGCCGAAAATATTTTTTCGGTTTTTTCGAAGTCCGCACCTACCCCTCGATACACAATTCTGGACGAGAGGTTTCCCCCGGTAATGTGATCTCGGAAGGCAGGCCTCCCCTTTGCAACACGAGCTCGGAAGCGGGAGCTCCCGATACAGGAGGTACGACTCGGACCGAAAATTTTCTAAGTCAAAATTTTTTCTAAGTTTTTCCGAAAACCACTTTTTTCCACAATTCAGGCTACCCTGTTCATTATTAGCCGAAAATATTTTCTCGGTTTTTCGAAGTCCGCACCTATCCCTCGATACACAATTCTGGACGAGAGGTTTCCCCCGGTAATGTGATCTCGGAAGGCAGGCCTCCCCTTTGCAACACGAGCTAGGAAGCGGGAGCTCCCGATACAGGAGGTACGTCTCGAGAACGACTCGGACCGAAATTTTCTAAGTCAAAATCTTTTCTAAGTTTTTCTGAAAACCACTTTTTTCCACGATTCGGCTACCTTGTTCATTATTAGCCGAAAATATTTTTTCGGTTTTTCGAAGTCCGCACCTATCCCTCGATACACAATTCTGGACTCGAGGTTTTCCCCGGTAATGTGATCTCGGAAGGCAGGCCTCCCCTTTGCAACACGAGCTCGGAAGCGGGAGCTCCCGATACAGGAGGTACGACTCGGACCGAAAATTTTCTAAGTCAAAATTTTTTCTAAGTTTTTCCGAAAACCACTTTTTTCCACGATTCAGGCTACCCTGTTCATTATTAGCCGAAAATATTTTTTCGGTTTTTCGAAGTCCGCACCTATCCCTCGATACACAATTCTGGACGAGAGGTTTCCCCCGGTAATGTGATCTCGGAAGGCAGGCCTCCCCTTTGCAACACGAGCTAGGAAGCGGGAGCTCCCGATACAGGAGGTACGTCTCGAGAACGACTCGGACCGAAATTTTCTAAGTCAAAATCTTTTCTAAGTTTTTCTGAAAACCACTTTTTTCCACGATTCGGCTACCTTGTTCATTATTAGCCGAAAATATTTTTTCGGTTTTTCGAAGTCCGCACCTATCCCTCGATACACAATTCTGGACTCGAGGTTTTCCCCGGTAATGTGATCTCGGAAGGCAGGCCTCCCCTTTGCAACACGAGCTCGGAAGCGGGAGCTCCCGATACAGGAGGTACGACTCGGACCGAAAATTTTCTAAGTCAAAATTTTTTCTAAGTTTTTCCGAAAACCACTTTTTTCCACGATTCAGGCTACCCTGTTCATTATTAGCCGAAAATATTTTTTCGGTTTTTTCGAAGTCCGCACCTACCCCTCGATACACAATTCTGGACGAGAGGTTTCCCCCGGTAATGTGATCTGATCTCGGAAGGCAGGCCTCCCCTTTTATTTGCAACACGAGCTCGGAAGCGGGAGTTCCCGATACAGGAGGTACGACTCGGATCGAAAATTTTCTAAGTCAAAATTTTTTCTAAGTTTTTCCGAAAACCAATTTTTTCCACGATTCAGGCTACCCTGTTCATTATTAGCCGAAAATATTTTTTCGGTTTTTTCGAAGTCCGCACCTACCCCTCGATACACAATTCTGGACGAGAGGTTTCCCCCGGTAATGTGATCTCGGAAGGCAGGCCTCCCCTTTGCAACACGAGCTCGGAAGCGGGAGCTCCCGATACAGGAGGTACGACTCGGACCGAAAATTTTCTAAGTCAAAATTTTTTCTAAGTTTTTCCGAAAACCACTTTTTTCCACGATTCAGGCTACCCTGTTCATTATTAGCCGAAAATATTTTTTCGGTTTTTCGAAGTCCGCACCTATCCCTCGATACACAATTCTGGACGAGAGGTTTCCCCCGGTAATGTGATCTCGGAAGGCAGGCCTCCCCTTTGCAACACGAGCTAGGAAGCGGGAGCTCCCGATACAGGAGGTACGTCTCGAGAACGACTCGGACCGAAATTTTCTAAGTCAAAATCTTTTCTAAGTTTTTCTGAAAACCAATTTTTTCCACGATTCGGCTACCTTGTTCATTATTAGCCGAAAATATTTTTTCGGTTTTTCGAAGTCCGCACCTATCCCTCGATACACAATTCTGGACTCGAGGTTTTCCCCGGTAATGTGATCTCGGAAGGCAGGCCTCCCCTTTGCAACACGAGCTCGGTTTTTTCGAAGTCCGATACACAATTCTGGACTCGAGGTTTCCCCCGGTTATGTGATCTCGGAAGGCAGGCCTCCCCTTTGCAACACGAGCTCGGAAGCGGGAGCTCCCGATACAGGAGGTACGAGTACGACTCGGACCCGCGAAAATTTTCTAAGTCAAAATTTTTTCGAAAATTACTTTTTTTGATTTTTTTTTCGGTAAAAAAAACTGAAATCCGGCAAAAATCCGGCAAATTTTTTCCAGCCGGAGCCGGAGCCGGAGCCGGATTTTGAAGCCGGATATCCGGCCGGATCCGGATTCAGCCGGATTTCCGGTCAGTTCCTAGTGTGGACGGACGCGGATGACGACGAAAACTAGAAAATTAAACTTAAATATATTGCAGATTAATTGGGGATCGGGTTTTGGTTCCCTGATAAATGTTTACTCGAAAAATAATTGAATTACAGAGAATATCTATGATAAATGTTAAACCAGTAAGACATACCAAAATATCCAAAAATCAAACGATGTATCTTGGCAGAGAACACAAAACATAAACAACTGGTAGTGTGCCCTGAGAGAATAGCCCTAGATAAACCTGGCCTGAGTGAGACCTTCGAGATTGCTATTCCATATTCAGCGATGTGTGTTCCACAAACTGGGTTACAATCACAAATCACGGTTGCAGTTTTAAGACTCACAAAAAAAGGTTCTCGTTGAAACTAAAAATTTCGTCGTTCTAATAGCATAAATCATCAAATATACGCATCAGTCTTAAATGCGATCAAAATAAAGTACGATAGATAACCAATGCACTGAATGGTACACCTTCGTGACTGTCTAGGTGACAGCTATATTGGTGACAGTAAATGTCTTATCTACACTTAAAATCCTGCCATCCCTAACATTGTGATACTTTGTTGGCTGAGCAGTGATAATTTCCTTTAGTTTGAGAACAAATTTCTGATGAGCTGCTCTTTCCTTCCTGTTTCTGTCAGGTGTGGTACATGGCACATTTTATTATGTTTACAAATGTATCCCTAACTTAGAAAATTCAAACAATATACACATAATATAGCATTGACCCTATATAAAAATTCAATATGAAATTCAATAAAAAATCTTAGTAAATTTTATAAAAACCCTTTAAGTAGTAAAAG